TATATATATATATATATATATATATATATATATATATATATATATATATATATATATTATACAACACATTTTAATGAGAGGTTAGGATCATAGTAGGTTTGTAAGAATCAAGGGACAAATGTTGAGAGTATGCAAAATGCAAAAGCGGGAGAAATTAGAAAATATTTTAAGTATTTTTGAAGGAAGGGATTTTATCAAAGTTCAGCTACAAACTCATTTCTATACCGATGACTAAGGTAACGAGAGTGGTTGTACTAACTTCTTTTGGATGAAAAAGTTTGGTTTCTGAACATGGATTTCAATGGCTCCAGCAATATGCAAAAGGTGAACTCGTAAACCATGTGTTAAATTTTATGGAATATGGTGGATAACTTTAAAAGCTTTATTCACCAAGCGAGCGAGAATAGAACTCTTGACCACTTTTACTTGTCCTTTGCTCAACCAAGATAGATGGATTTCTGTTATGCGATGACGGACTTGCCGAATTGTACGTCTGATATAACTAATTCTTACATAACTACTATAATCCTATTTGATTAAAATATTTAGTTAGTTTCTTCCTTCATATATATATTATACAACATAGCAACTGCTTAATTTTCAAATAATTACTTTAATTATTGTAATTCTCTTTCTCCCAATCGCTCAATGTCATTTTGTAATCAATGTGTCATTATCTAATTATTACGTAACGTAGCTACTCGATGAGTATTATTTCATTGTTGTAGATCGTACATATATTGATATGATGGAAAGAAAGTAAATATTCGATTGATTTACTCATTATGAGTTTTATTCAACATTACTTCTGTTTTGATTTAATGTAATTATTACTCAATGTAGTATTTATTTTCTTTTCTCGTATGATATTTTATCCTTCCAAAGAATCCAAGAGATTTTTCTTTTGATGCAACGATCGAAACTTTGTTGCAAATATTCGCTGAACAGTCATCTTTGTTTAATATTCGTTATGAATGTCTTAAGATAACAAAAGCAGTTGACGATGACTGGGTGAAGCATGCGGGGTTAGTAAACCGTGAATGTGAGCGCTTCAAACTATCAGCACTGACAGAAGATCAGTTTAAGTGTCTAGTGTTCGTGTGCAGCCTCCAATCTCCTGAGGATGCCGATATTAGAACCAGAATCTTGAGTAAAATTGAACAATGTCCAAATATAACACTACAAGAAATAACCACAGAGTGCCAGAGATTGGCAAACTTAAAACACGACACTGTTTGGAATAACATTCCTTTCACTAGTCTTCTGTCTTCTCTTTGCGACTTGGAAGGGTTTGGGCGTTCGTGTGTTCATTTGTACGCGTTATATCAAGTAAATCAACCATTTCTAGACATAACAACTGGCGACGGGGATTTTGGAAAACATTCCCAAGACATAACAACTGGCGACGGGGTGAAAAAAAAGCCAAGACAATCAGCATACAGACTTCTCGCCGGTGTCCTTCAACGACATTGATTGTTAATTAATCGTACAGTATTTCTCATAACCGTGCTGATTCAGAAAATGGCTATCTCTTCCGATCAATTACAGTTGCTGTTTGAGCGACAGCAGCAGCGTTTCAAAAATAGCCAATTGAACGTTTTAGACAATTTACGCACACGGCTGCTAACTCATCCATGTTTTGGAGATGTAACAGAAGTTGATAAATTAACTTCTAATTTGCAGACCGAGCTGGAAAATGACTGCAGAACGTATGAATATGTCGACAAAATCCTCTATGAATCATTGATGAGCAGTAATGTAAGCGAAGCAGTAGCAGTCATTGATGATCCACCCAGTGATCCAGAAATGTCCATTTCAGAAACGCCCTGTCGTGGGTTCAAATCCGATTGCCTCCGAAACACCAGGTGCAAACACTGAATCGTCCAGCTCACAGACAGACGACGTCTTATTAAATGCTCATGAAATTATTGCAGTACCCCCTCACGAAGAGACGAAAGATGAATCAAGCAGCATAATGAAGACAGTTGCATCAAATGGAGCTCATCATTCCAGAACAAACGTTACTGATGAATCTACTCATTGGAGTTCCCTAGTTGCTTTATCAAATATGAGTTATCTTAATGACTCATATACTTTTGATCAAGTTCCTCACAAAAATGAGAAAAATTTGTCGAATGCATCAAATGATGATCAAGAACCTAGTAAAATTTTGATAGATACTGATTATTCTAGTGATCGATTATCTACTAATGAGATTTTCAAGAGATCTGATGAAAATGTTTCACAAGAATCAGACCTTAATTACCTCATGTTTAGTGTCGTTGATCCTCACCATCTAGTCAATCCTAGTGGACTTTCTACTCAATCCGAGAAATATACTTTAAATAGAGTCACACTAACTGTAACTTGGAAATATGAGGATCCAACATTATTTCGTGGGGGAGGATGAAGTCATAAAATTTAAAGACGGATCTCAACACGAAGTCTTCAAAAAAAGAAGGGGAGGTGATATGATGGAAAGAAAGTCAATATTCGATTGATTTACTCATTATGAATTTTATTCAACATTACTTCTGTTTTGATTTAATGTAATTATTACTCAATGTAGTATTTATTTTCTTTTCTCGTATGATATTTTATCATGTATAGTATACGATATTCTTGTATTTAATTGACATGAACTATGCTCTATATGTGATTTGTGATAACTGAATATTTTTCATGTATGTGATTTCATTCTAATTATTAATCGAAATGATTGTATAATCAATATATAAATGAGTGTATTTTCGACTAAGGTCATCGTCGTCATCATAGTGTTTTGGGGCTAATAAAACTTCGCTTATATTAGTCTTGTGTTCTTACTTTCGCGTCATGGGAATTGTGAAGGTCCCTTCGTTCCGAGCATAAGTGGTCAGCGATTCCGACATAACAATCAGCGACGACCAGATACAAAGTAGCATTCGATTCACAAGTCATAACATATATATATTAGTGTAGAGTCATAATGAGGAACTAATTGAAAAGAAATTTATTCGTTCGACTCATTCCTTCTTCTTTTGTTTTTACCAAATATCAAAATGGGAATTTTCATTTTTCTCATTTCATGCAATCGAATGAAAATCTTGCTACAAAATGTTTAATTTAAAAATATTACTCTTCATTCATTAAAACGACAAAAGTATTAGTGCAACCATGAGATTGATCATATATAGACACTCAACTTGAATAACATGATTATGAGATGCTTGTTAATTAAATTTGATATTGTCTAATATTATTAGTAAGGGATTGAATGATTCGGATATTGATATTGAGGACTAAATTTAGATCATTCTTTGTTGGTTTATGTACATTCTATGAGGATTGCTTCGATATAGCTATTCTGTTACAAGTTATTATTATTGAATAGATAGATTGTAACTAGTAGTGAAATCTACTGAAGCGCGTTTTATCCTATCCTGGACTAATCAACTGGTTATCTTTGTTTCCCAGTGTTGATGTTCACGTTAAGACTTAATGGATAATGTGTCGGTGTTTTAAGCGAAAGGTATTGTGTTCAAGTATTATTGTGAATTTCAACACTGGAATACATGTACAATCAACTGACAACTTCCAAATAGGATGAAATGCAAGTGCTGTATCCCAGTAAAAAAAAATTATTTGATCTCATGTCTTGATCAGTCATTATATTTTTTATTCAAAAATAAAATATATTTGATTTGTTTTCTATACTAAAGGTTGTCTACAACGAAGAAAAAAAATAAGAAAGCGACATTATATAAACAACTAATTAACTCGACTTTTGTTCTTTTCACCACAAGTGAAAACGAAAAAAATGCTAGTCTATTGGTCTATTTTTAACATAATTTCAACATTATCAATGACATTCAATGTCTACTTTTATTGCAGAATTTTTCTTCAAATATGTAAAGGGATAATTCCATATTCCAAGTTGTTTATTTCCCTCACAACCCTGTTGTCATGACTTCTGCTAGAATATATATATATATATATATATATATATATCAAGAGGACCTAGTAGAAAAGATGTATCTTTGCTTTTCTTTGTAGAAAGGCGGCAATTTTCATGCCAAGATAAACATAGAACTGTTATTTAACCACTGAAAATGAATTGTATATATATATATATACTAATAATAATAATAATGGCAATAATATTAATGATGATCGTAATGATAATATTATTCTTCTATTATTATTTCCTCTCTCCAAATACATTTTGTTCCATTGTTTTAATTACGAGATAAATATGTTGATTTCATAATTATTGATTGAATTCAAAATCAGTAATATAACACACATAGATGTGAAATGACATTATACTGTAATGATGACGTTATGTGTGAGAATAGTTGGGGGGTAATAATGAATAATTTCATACTTTAATATTTTTTCTTTGAGAGAAAGCGAGATGTTTTCGAGTTTACAATTTTAGAATTTGATTTCTAATTTAAATATGCATTATTTTAGTTAGATTATTTTATTAGGACTGGTGATATCAGTTAAGAGAGTTTTGAGTGCTATCAAAGTATAATGAAACATTTGTTCGATGGTCAACAGATTTTATTATTAATCATATCTCAACCATCATCTCTGACCTACTATGGATAACTATCTGATATCTGATATTGGTTGAACTTAACTGGTCACGCTTTCTCATTTGAGCTCCGGGAATTTTAATCTGAAGATACTGAATATATGATTAATGTCTGAATAGAAAGTTTTAGGGAGATTAGAGGACTTTAAATCACGAACTAATTTAAACCAAACCATCAATAGAAACATTGGATAGCCTATATCTATGAATAATTTTCTATGATATAATAAAAGTTTTTCAACTGAATTCATTCGTTCATGCATATCAACTGATAAGTTTAATATAAGAATAAACAAGTATAATTGAAATATAATCTTGTTGTCATTAAACTATCATTATGATATTACTATTTCAGTAGTTAGCTTAATTATTATTACCGTTACTATTATTGTTTTTCCCTACAATTGTTCTTTTCCAGTTGTTTCAATGATAACTAAAACAATGTCAACGGTAACTTCATCTCCAAGATTGTGTTATTCGTCTTCTTCTCCAAATATTTCATTTGATCAGTCTACAATTAATGTTCATGTTGATAAATTAAAAGAATCTGATCAATGTACAATTAATGGTGAACATAATACAGAAACATTTAAGAAAATATTAAATGATATTCCAAAATCATCATCATATTTATCGCCTTCCTGCTCATCATTTACTTCGTTTTCATCATCATCATCGTCATCATCGTCGTCGTCATCATCATCATCATCATCTGCACTAACCATCGATTCATCAATAAATCCTTCTACATGTTTATCTGATACATTATGGTCCAATTCAAAATCAACAGCAATACATAATATTGTAAGTGTTGATAAATTAAAACAATTAAAAATTGATATTCAAGATTCAAGATATGAAGATGATGAAAATCCGAAAGAGGTAAATTGTTCATTTGTGTGTGTGTGTGAGTGTGCGTGTTTATGTATATTCTTAGAAAATTGTTCTTCATTAGCTTAATTTCAAATTTAGTATTATATCCTCCAATTTAATATTCATCAAGACTTGTTTTATTTTATACCCGAATCAAGGTTATATTAACACTTTTCTTTTTTTTTAACTTGGGAAGGTATTATTATCACTTATTATTAACATCATCATAATAATAACAATAAAATAACAAAATATACTTAATACCTCAACGCGTAAAATATAAATATTCGAATGATACATCATTTAGTATAAGTCGCTTCTTGAAAGAATAAATAATTAACCAAATTAAATTAATACAAGTTTCAGAAGTACAGAGAAGTAAATTAGAATTTTTATTAACATCAAAACAAGTCTGATTATGTTGATGTTATGTTATTTAGGTCAGTGGTGAGATGTACATTTGTGTATTCGGATACATTTGAGTAGGCGTCAGAAATGTGTTTATTGTACAGTGAAAGTTTAGAGTTAATTTGTACGTGTTAATTGGTATACGACTTGTGCAAGTTAATAAATGATGAACATTCTTAAGATCACTTCAGCGTCGCTCAAAGGTCGTTCATAATTGATGGTCAAACCATGGTAATAGAAAAGATTAGATATCGAAAGTAAGATTCAAAAAAATTTAAATTAGTGAAATAAAGAAGTATAAGTAACTCAGCAGCTTAGAATCTCGGGTATATGAAATAAATAATTCACTTCCGCTACTGCAAATGATTTTGAGCCATGTCATTCAAATTCTCTAACCACTGGTTATAATAACCACGCTGATCCGAACCAATCAGTTTAGACTTATTAGTATGGCTCAGTCCGATTTTCACTGTCTTCATGGACTGATGATATGTTTTGATTTGGCTGCTCCTAGTTCTTTTCAAGCCTACTCCTACACCAGACAACATCACCCGTTAAGGTAGGCGGTAATTAGGCATAGGTAACACATCTCCCAACCGCTCAAGTCGACGGAGATTTACTACTTCATCAATCGATTTGCCATCTTTACCTAGTACCCCATTCCTAACCCAGGGATTGGTAACTCGGTGATCTCAAAGTAAACGAGTAATGATTCTAAGATATCTATTCGAGGTACCGGTGAGTAGGGAGCACTAGGCAAGTGTTTCGTCCTCTCATAATAGGATGAGATATGTAGGATAAATATAGCCAAACGAAATAATAATTACGTGGATTACTCTTTGAATAATATGTATATAATCAGGAATAGTAAATTGAATTCAACTTGACGACGATATATTGATTTACATTTCAGGTAGTTATCCATGATTCATGTTCCTGTGGGCAATATATTTATCAGTCTTTTCAATTCGTAATAGATGGATTAGGAGTTGAACTACTTACTGTACTATTGGGGGTAAATACCTGAATGATCAATTCGTACATGATTATCTTAAAGATGATTAGACTGAATTACCTAGATGTATAAACCTTAAAATATCTAAGCATTTAGCATCTTATTAACATTATATTTAATATAAGTTGACGATCATCAACCGGATTCTTTATTTGAGCTTCAAAGTTTCTCCGAACGTCTAATCAATCACTGTATCTTTACTTATTTAAGTATACACGGAACTATCCAGACTTTATCATTTAGGCTTAGACTTCGTTGTTTTTATTAGTATTCTTAGTTTCTTTCTTAGTTCAACTTTTCAGTCATGTATGATGAGTTTCGAATGTTTATTCAAACAAATAAAAAACAATTTCCATTTACTTACAGGTAAATTCATTTGTAGTCCCCAGTGTCCTATCACCTTATTCTCCAATTCAACCAACACCTCCATGTTCTCCAAATTTCTCATCCTCTACATCTTTATCACCTTCATCAACTATTACACTTCCTCAGAATGGATATAAAAGTCCCAAAAGTCAACAACAACATCAACAATCTACTTCAATGACGAATTCATGTTATAATAGAGATGAAACTTCAGGAGGATCGATCAATAATCGACCACCTACACCAGATATTCGGCGTAGTGAATTGGATTTGGCAGATTTATCCGATGGAACAAGAGTTTTAGTTATACAAGATACCTATCTACGTGCTGGTACTTTATATTTAGGAAAAGGTATGTTGAATACTACCATATAACAGTTGTGTCCAAATTTTTATTAATATGCATAGAAAAATGTTATTCTAAATCATATATCCTATTCATTTGACTGATTAACACAGTATCTTCTAACTACTGCAATTGATGTCGCCTCAATCTGTGTTCCACTTTGGATCAACTAATTTGAAAAAAAGTTGAATGGTGAAATTATTGCTTGTATGAAATTGCCTCGCTAAAAAACTCTAACCGGAAAAAGCAGCAAGCAGCAGATCTAAAGAAACGTATAACTGAGATCATGAACCGATCAATGTTAAACCACCATTGGAAATCTTGAAGCATTGGAAGATCGTTTCGTTCTGACATGAGACTTCTCAGAAATGCCTATCACGATTCCACACACGGGATTCGAACCCAAGACCTCTGGTCTTGCGATCAAACTCTTGACCTGTAAACCACTGAGCCTGCATCCAACGGTGTTAGTGTTTAACTCGTGCGGGGTCATGGATGTGCACCGCTGAGAATTCTCATACCAGAATGAAACGACCATCCAATGCTTCCAGGTTTTCAATGGTGGTCTAACACTGATGGGTTCATGATTTCAATTAAAACTCAACAATTTCCACAACCTTATACTGAAACGTATGATATTATTGAAGTGTTCTTTTTTAATGTATACTGCGCACAATAGTAGGTTGTTAACGTGTTTGAGTAGTACTTACTAGTGACTACTGATAAGTTACATTAAACTTTTACACTAAACATTACATCGTGTCTCAAATAAAAGAGAAGTGTAGGTAAAGATATATACATGATAATAATCTATTTCAGTAATATTACTGTGTCTGTTGTTTTCATCTATTTCCAAGTACTTTAAAGTAAAATTTGTATCAATTGATAAGAAATCCAATGAAATTTGAAACTATTAGCAGATACACAGTTTATTCCCTAAATAGGTATTTGTAAACTATCTAACTATTAACTAAATTTCAATGATTACAATTCCATGAAAAATTACACATATATATAAATTATTGTGACGAATGTATTGATGATACTGTGATGTGTGCTACTTATATCAACATAAGTAGTATATAACTTTAGTCAGGAATAGAATGTCTGACAACAGAAGATTGAGAAGATCGAAGAGGAAAGAATGAAAACAGAACGCAATTAGTATGGAAATGCAGGCATAATAAAATCTGCAACAATTAATGAACATTTTGCAAACAAATTATTGGAGTATGGTTTTTCTATTCTATCAAGTAACTTTGTAATTTTGTGTTAAATATAATCGGTCGTCCTCACCTGTGTTCTCCTTCACTACAATATCACCAAGAAATCGATAGAACTCAATTACAATGATGTGAATAAAACACTAATTAGTACCTGAAAACTTATTTTCGTATCAAAATAGATCACTTAGACTAATTAATTACAAAGCCACATCTCCAGTTTCTAATTTTGGTGTAATTTGGATTAAGGACTTCATTTTAATATAATACGATGTTAATCTAGTATTTAGTCTGTGCTTAACCTGGACATTTCTATAATAGACAGCTTTGGATTATTTCAATTTGTACCATCCACATAACAAGTTACTAAGTCGAGAGAAAATACAATTATTACAATTTGTGGATTTGAAGTGATTTATTTCTGGTTTACAGAAATATGACTCATATCTAAATATTGGTTAGATGTTCCATTGTGTATTCTGAAGATTTTTGTATGCATAAAAGATGTCAGTAAATGACTTTACAATAGGGTCGTATTGTAGTGAACAGAACACGAGTGGGTGGACAATCGAATGTATTTGATACAAAATTACAGGACTTGCTAATAAAATCTAATAACCATATAGTGAATGTTTAATTTCCAAAATGTCCATCAATTGTCTGAAAATGACTCAGAGTTCATTGTTCCTGCATTTCATACAAATTGCATTCTGTCTTCATTCTTTATTGCTCGATCTTCTTGTCTCTCTGTTGCCGGACATTCTGTTCACGACTAACATCATATAATACTTATGTCTACATAAGTAGTGTAGTGAACAAAACACAGGTGGGGACAATTGAATGTATTTAACAACAAATTACAGAACTAGTTAGTAAAATCCAACAACCATATATTAAATCGTTAATTTGCAAATTGTTCATCAATTGTCTTAAATGACTCAGAATCCCTTTGTTCTTGCATTTTCATACAAATTGCATTCTTTCTTCATTCTTTATTGTTCGATCTCGTCTCTCTGCTGCCAGACATTCTGTTCCTGACTAACGTCATATACTACTTATGTCTACATAAGTAGCACACACCACACTCGTCCTCCCTTTAAAGCAGTCGTTCTTGCGTTGGTTCATGCTCTCCGTGCAACATTCCTCTTTTCTTCAGTCTGAGCTACGCCCTCCGTCAAAATGTCGAGTCTGCGGCGCGCTGACCTCCATAGCTCCGTCGACCTGCTGAGGTACCAACAGTATCATTAAGTCTTCATGTTGATCTTGTCTAGATTGGAGTACTTTAACTAAGAATATTTCATCTCTCAAATCAATGTCTTTCATAATCAATTATAAACCCTTGAAAGTTATGTACATTACTATCCTTAACTAATTGTATAAGCTAAAACACTTAATCGTACTGATGTATGGTATGAAAACTTGGGTTTATTCATATTGGTCCCTGGCTCTATGGTAATCATGACTGACTAATTGAAACATCTCATTAGAACATCAGATAAAATTAGTTTATGAGCCAGATCAAGAGTTTCAGTTAAAAGTTACTTTACTGTGACATAAACTTGAAAGTTTTCTTCTTTTTCATGATTGTCTCAAGAAAAATTAATAACAACTACATTGATTTAAAATATTTTACTTTTAAATTTGTAGATAGTTCTTCATTAATCAATCGAATTAGTCTTAATAACGATTATCTACGTGATCAAGTATTTCGTATACATTTAGATACTGAGAAATTTACTAGTTCAACTAATTCACGTATTAATAATTATAATCGTTTTATATCACCATCATTTAACCATGTGAATAATCAAGTTGTATCATATTCAACTTATCGACAATTATCTTTTTCATCGTCATCATCATCATCATCATCGGCATCGTCATCTTCAAGTAATAATAATTGTAGACTGTTTAGTAAAAATAGAAGACGTCAAATGGATTTGTTATTGTATGGATGGCAAGTGGTACAACAGGCAGTTTTAGAAGTATTTCCTGCTTCAATACGACATGTTCCACCGGGAACACGTGTTTGTGCTGCATGGAGTGAACAACTGGGTGTTAATCTTTATCCAGGAACTGTTGTAAAAAGTAAGTTTATTCATTATTAGTAATATTTATTGTTTAATCTTTTCAAATGTTACAAGAATGCAATACACTTGTATTTTTAAGTAAGGATTTTTTGCAAACTGAGGTTTACTTTCAATTCGATTTAGTTTCTAATGTTTGACATTAAATGATTATATGTTTTTTATATAAGTTATTGAAAAAATGAACATAACTTATTGACGGACCATCACCAGGAACCGAGGTTGAAGACTATGTTATAATCATGAATTCATTGAGTTAGAAAATGTCGAACTATTGAATTTCTCCTTAATGGTCTAATGTGAACATGTTGCTTGTTGTGTTATTTTGAGAGTTTTGAATTCAATTTTATATGGAGTATTGTGTTTCTACTGTTTAAAAGTAGTTAATTCATGTAAAGGAGCTGTTCCAGTGCTTCTCAGATTTTTAGTGATTTACATAAAACAACAGTCTTCGTTACCTAGAATTATTGGAGCTAATCTACAAAAAAGCCTTGAATCTATTTCATATTGTTCTTTTAGCACACTCATCAGTAAAATGTACTTTAATAGATTGTATAGGCTATCTTCCCGTCAGTAATTTGAATTTGAGTTACTCAGCTATTTAACCAAAGATTTAATCACTTAGTTATGAATGTCTCAAAATTTTTTGCGTATTATTCAAATCAAATGCTTAGTATTATACATATTTATAAATTTTTCGAGTATTACTTCTAATCGGTAACATTCATTGTAGATTTTTAACTACTAATATCAATCAATTTAGTAGTCAGATTGTTATATCTATTCAATCACTCAGTTATATGTTAATTAATCTTTCTTTAATTAATATTTTATTGTTAATTAAGAACTATTGAAAATAAAGGATATACTGTACTGTGGTGTGTGCTACTTATGTAGACATAAGTAGTATATAACGTGAGCACTGAACAGAATGTCTGGCGGCAGAGAGATAAGAAAATCGAACAATAAAGAATGAAGACAGAAGGCAATTTGTATGAAAATGCAAGAACAAGGGGATTCTGAGTGATTTGAGACAATTGATGAACAATTTGCAAATTAACGATTCAATCTATGGTTGTTTGATTTTACTAACTAGTTCTGTAATTGGTTGTTAAGTGCATTGGATTGTCCCTACTGGTGTTTTATTCACTACAGTACGAGTGTTTTGTTCTGATTAAAATCTCAGAAGTACACATTTCAACGTTCTCTATATTACTAAGAATCAATGAATTTCAAATCACACTAGTGATTAAAATATTTCTAATTTACTGAGCTATTTGAATGTTTAATTTATGTCATTTGATGGATGATATACTTATGGTGAAATTAATGAAGTAGAAAATTAGAAAGTAATATTATACATACTATAAGATTTAAACACATAAGACTCAATTCTATGTAAAATTGTAAGTGAATACCTCTGAAGTATCCGTAACAAGAATGATGTAGTCATTTAATACTTTTTAGTTTTTAAGGATTTTTTTTTTTCGTTTTAGGTTGATATTCATGATAAAAGTGACATTTGATTTCTATTCCCTTTTATTATATACATTGACTTTTTATGTAAATATATTTTATTTAAATTTAATGAAAATATTTCTTCTAGCTGATCTAAATGAACAACAACATATCAATAATGATTGTGTTCCAGTTGATTTTGATGATGGAGATCATCGACAAGTACCATTAACTGATTTACGTATTCTACCGGATTATTTTACAAATTTATGTGAATTAATTAATATCACTGGTGAAAATAATATAAATTGTTTAACTCCTTGTCTTATCTCATCGGATTATTTGTCACTACGTCATGATAATATTAATATTACTAATAATAATGATAAAGATAGTGGTAAATTTGTATCACGTATGCGTCGTCATAGTGATCTGGATCATAACACATCTAGATCATATCATTCATGGTCTCAATCAAGTAAGTTAAATAATACAATATAACCTATCTTTTTTCTAGGTTTTTAATCTATTATTAAAACTTTTTAAGGAAATTATCAATGTTATTACTTTAGTTATTCAATATTTACATCCATATTGTCGTGTTTTATTATTATTATTATCTATTATGTGTTATATTTACAAATTGAACTATGTAAGATTATTTTGATCATTAAGACATTGTTCTAAACATACTGTTAAACTGATTTGTAAGCAATCTACTCACATTGACATATGGAATAGACATAGTGTTAATGATAAGGTTACATTAGCAAATAAATCTCAATTTAAAACTACTTACATCGTTTGTATTATTCAGGTTAGCAAAATAAATATTTTTCTTAAGTTTACTGCATCTGTAGACATTTTTCTATATACATAAAGGTGATGTGTTCAAGTCCCGATGTGAGCATGAACACTCGAAGTGTATTCAGCTGGTAAGTCGCAATTATGATTGAACGTGAATCTTGGCTTCTACTACTAGTCATTGTCTTTCTATTCTGAATAAATTATAACATGATGGTTACATAGAAGTTATCCATAAAGCGTGCACTAGTGTCAATTAAGATTGATTGGAATTCAGTCATGAATATTGACGACTGGATAACAGTCAACCGTCACTAAAAAATTTAGCCAATATAAAATATTAATATATTTGAGAATTAAGAACTGAATAGTAAGTTGTTTGCAAAGTGTAACAATATTTTACAGTGTCAACGGAGTTTTAATTAGCAATTAAAATGATAGTTATTGAAAAATGGAGATATTTTGCTAATGTGAAAGCAACCAATTTTATGAAGCAAATCGCAAAGTTAAAAATCTTGATAGCATAAGAGTAATTTGAAGGAGAACTAATGGTGGCCGAACCAACACTTGCATCAGTCTGTAAAGTTACTCATTTTTGATCTAGGCCTTGTTGGTAGATGCCAACTACCTAGTTGAGACCCACTCAATAAATGCTGTCGTTGGTTAGAGAAGTTGGGTAAAACAGCTCTGGACTAACCAGATTGGGACAGATACATTTGGTCTTTGTCTTACTCTAAATGTTGAGTTCCAGTATTGTGTCACACGTACCCTTCCACTGTCTTTTGGAAGCATATCCCCAATGTTTGGTTTTTCTTATCATTGCTGCTACGTTATATAGACTTTTCCGCTTTTCTGTCTATCGTAATGTGGTGTGTTAACTCGGGTTGACTCCATGTTGATTATGACTGACCAACTGCCTTATCGTCTCTACGTGATCCTAATGTCTCCTCCCTTGTGTGGAAACTTTGTATTTTGATAGCTAAAATGAATTATATAGGTTTAAATCTACTGACTAAAGGGAGTAATTTAGCGTAGTGATGTGACTGTAGACGATTATTGGTGAATGCACAGACTCAGTGTCTTATCTTCAGTAAAAAAATTCATGATGATCAACATCATAACCGTTATATTTACAATGAAATTACAGTTTTTGTGCGATTATCAGATGAAATAAGAAAACCATCAATGTTACGTCGACTCAGTAGTTGATGTTTACTCATAGTAATTGGTGGTTATTTTAGTTCACAACTAACAACCTTAATGAATAAATTGTGTAAATTAGTTAAACTTCCGCAAGTGTAACTTATCTATTCCTATCATTGAAATATCAGCCCAAATTTGCTAATGAATATAATCCCTGATTTCATACATTGACTTTTTTTTTAAAAGTTCACGTATATTTTACATACTAAAATACACTTTTTAAACTTAGTAGTAGGTGATCTAATTTTCATTTGAAATGTATCTTTTACTACTTACAAGTAGAGTCACACGTTTTGCTAAATTTATTTCGTTTTCGAATTTTTTTTAATTTTTAGCATCTCCACTTATACATGATACTATGTCCTTGTGTTCACCACAAATGAATACAAACTTAATGTTAAACTCAAAGTTTTTCTTTCCTGAAAAGAATTCAAATAAACTAACACATCGTATCAAAAGTAATCGAAGTAGAAAAGATTCTCAATTATCTTCATCCAGTTCAAATAGAACAATGGAATGTACTGTAAATTCACTGATATCACCTACACATACAATATCAACGGGTGCTACATCAGTCATGTCATTAAGATCACCGTCACCACCTCTATCATTGCAAACGCCAGTGACAATAGCTGATTTTAATCATATGTCAAGTGATAAGTACATGAGTGAATGTTCTGACAATAATATTAACAATGTCAATAATAGTGATAATGATAATAATATTAATAGTAAGTCAGAAAAGGTGAATTATCCATTGAACAATCATCTATCTGAAGAATTCAATGCAGATAATATTTCCATTTCAAGCACAATTACAACAACCGATAGTTCAAATGAGTGTTTATCCTGGCAAGTGTACGAAAAGGTAATAGAATCTTTTTGTTAAAAAAATTAAACATCAGACGTAGAATTTTCAAGTTATTTTGTGTATAGACTTAGACCTTTCTATAAATAATAAGCAATCAATTAATTATAAAAGGTAACACTAGAACGTACTTATTTATATGTTTGATTTTCAACTATCAGATCAGAGATTCTGCTAGTTGACCAAATGTGGAAACGACTATCAGAACAGTAGGATGTCAACTAATACGTCCCTATGTGGGTGTTAAGCGGTGACCCACTGACGACAAGTGGGGATGATCGTCTTGGGTTCGAGCACTGAGCGCGGAGTCGTGGATACGCACTGGTGAGGATTTTTCATACTAGGATGGAACGGCCGTCCTGTCCTTCCAGGTTTCCGATGGTTGTCTAACATCGATCGGTTCATGATCCCAATTATACGTCCCTATTTCTACCTTCATTCTATCTACTCATGTTCGAAATCTGATGAACTAACACTAAGACAAATAACCAGATAGTATCACTGGCTGTCTTAGAGCAATTATGGTTCCAAGTAAAGTGAATTAACCTGTACTTAGTGACTCAATTATAAGCATAAGTATATATCAAATCATCATAATAATAGTATATTATGAAGTATAAAGTCATTGATCTGAGGATTGTAACAGTGTTTGAACTGATTAGAATGCCAGATTGAAGCTGTCAAATTACTGTCTGGAGTCCTCTGACCTTTTCTTCTGCTATTTTGTCAATATTCTCTTGTATAAATCCGACTATCTATTTAAAAATTTTTTCATTCTTCTTTATTTTTTATTTTAACTAATGACATTTAAATTTTCTGTAGTTTTGATAGATTTGTAATTTTGCGTACTAGACTGAATGAAGCTAACTCATAAGCATGATTAGTTTTGTTATCACAAAAAATGGACAACTCTTGGATAAAAATAGGATTCTACTATTATATGGAGACCTATTTGAGGTAACTAAGGTGATACGCAGATTAAGATATCCTCTATCTAAGAGAAACTAGTGTTGAATGCATGGGATCAATCGACAGAAAGTTGTAGCTTCATGTTTAGTACTATTTACCTGCAACCTTGACGTCACTTATGATATCTTAAGTATTACTGGTTGACGACTGAATTCCTCCTATTTAGGAACATACTGTGGTGAATTGACATATTTATATCTCAGGATTAGCTTGAGTTGGTTATGTGGTGATTAGCTTAGCTGATAGCTATGTTTTACTGCAACCTTAAATAATACAGTTTCTTATCTCTAATGAAGCAAGAGTTCCATTTAAAGCTGGAGATCCACCTTGTTGGTGAGTTTCCCGATGAAATTATGAATCATCATTGAGGTACTTCACTTTTACAGATGTTTCTGATGGCTTATTGATATGGAGAGCCAATCAGAGGTAGCAAAAGGTCGATCAACGGCAGTCGGAAATGACCTAAAATTCAAGTGCATTTGATTGGGGTCAATTTCCTAAGGATAGAGTGGCATATATATGAATGACTATTTGTTCATTCCATTCGGTAGTCCAATACACTTTTCCGCTCAAGCAGTCAATTGGCGATTTAGCGCGTAGCATACCGTGTGTCAGTATCAAATTTCATACACCACATGTCACAAAACTTATATATGCATTTGTAAATGACTATAGAATTACGTTTTCCTGTAACTGACTTGTACCAATTAACTGATGTTAAGCAATAGATTATAGTGCACATTTTTCACAACAAATCAAATATTCAACGGTAACATAATTTACCTACTTCCTGTATCGTGTTACATCAATTTACATGCATCATCAATGCAGTCATAATAATTAGCAACGTACTCAATTTAGAGAATATCTCCACCCATTAATGACGTGAAATTATTAATAGAGAAAAGCTAGGAAAAGTTTGATGACTGACTGGAAACAGAATTTAATTGAATTACTAATCCTAAACTTATCTTATTTCTCAATTGGTGGTATTTTAGTGAAAGCGGATACAGTTTAAAATCCGTCTCCCATCTAAGGTCCGTACATTCAGTCTACAGACTCGATATAACAGAAGTGAGAAGTTATTTATGAATAAGTTGACTGAACCGGAAAATAATTCAAATCTCGTGCTGTTCTCGGAAGGTTTATGTCAAGTAGATAAATACAGTATGCCTGTAGTGAACAAAGAATTGATGAGGATATCCACTTTATTGTTTAGTGCAAAATTACACATTGGCCTAGTAAAAAATGAATATCATACACTATTTTCACATCTTCATCCAATTTTCCTTTACATGCTTCTTTTAATTCGTTCATTGCTCCAACTACTCTCTGTTTCCTGTTTTCTTCAATTCAATCTTTTGATTGCAGGTATCCCACTCCCGATTACTGCTACATATTACTTATATCTGTCAGTATGAGTAGCATGCACCACTTGTATTTAGTGAACAGCTGTCAACTGGAAGTTTTTATTACCCTTATCTCAGGTTATCTGAAATATCTGATAGTAATTTTGTTACATGTCCTAGCAGAGTAAATCACGAAAGCAGTTATTTAAATTTTGATTGGTCAAGCCGAATCTAGTCAAAATGCCTTATTTTCACATAGGTATACAAATAGTAACTTTGTTCTGAAGTTTGCACTTATGACACAAGAATCACTAAGATTTGTTTCAAATGTGACATTATGACCTTAAATTTGTATGGAATAAAAACATTCTAAAGTGTGATCGTACATAATTCATATATGCACATGTTATAAGTTTATACGCCAAAGTCAAGTCATTGGAAAAGTTCTCATAATACCTCTGTCTATCTCAGGAGATTAAAGTACGTTTGATGGTTTTGTCATAATTAGGACTATGACTATAAGTGTTCACATAAAAATCACAAATGAAATAAATTTGAACAAACTGAAATATAACCTGATGATATTCATATCTAGTTACGGGAAGACTAAGGTTTAGTTTCCACGAGTTTCGTTCAGTTTGTCGACGTAATGTATATGACCTAAGACATATCTTTCGAAAAATAGTAAAGGTGATCAGAATGAGGGGTGAGGCTATCCATAGCGTTTACATGTTTACTAAATGTATCATACTCAGTTTATTTGGTGAGTGAGTGTTCCACATTATAGTGCATTTTTCATCAAAGATTTCATTTCAAAGTCTAACGATATTTTTATTTTTATCCGGCATGTCGGACTGCACTGTATAATTATGAATAACTGTAGTCCATTTTTCAAAATGAAAACACTGTATTGCGTTCAGAGACACTGGAATCCCGACCACATATCCTGATTAAGTCAACCCTCGATACATCAATTCCCCAGATTTATATATATATATATATATATATATATATATATATATATATATATATATATATATACTTTCTGAACTTTTGATCTAATAGATAAAAATAACTAATTGTGGATGTGTAGTTCATGCTTTTCTCGACTTTGGCTTTCATGTTTTAAAACAGTTTAAACGTCGGAAACAAGGCTGTATATACTGTCGTTCAATAATACGTGATGTAGATGGTTTAATCGTTAAAGTTGGTGATTGTGTACAATTTGGCTCTGGGCGCAATGAAATATATCTTGGAGAGGTTAAAGAAATACGTTGGGAGCAAAAAAGGAATTCACTTATTGTTGTCGCTGCATGGTAATTACTATTATTTTCTTGTAAAATTCCACATATAAATAAAAGTTATACCACAGCTTTCGATGGTGAAGAAAAACTCCTGGTCTTACGACTAATAAGAGCCCACATCTTTGCGTTTTGTGTTCAAAACTAGTTAGCAGAGAACTTCCACTCTGATTATGTCAATTTTCATCATAGACTTACGACTTCAAATAGAAACCATATGAGGGTTATAATCCGGGACCTCGAAATATTGTGCCAAATTCATTACCTTTGAGCTGTTAATTCAGTCAGTTACGTCATAATCAACGAAGAGCATGGTGCAAACGTAAGGTGGGCCAAGTTGTCATGCAACATCAGAACAACAAAGCGGAATTAACAAGATATGGTTCGAGAATATGGCTTGAACAGACAGAATGTTAGATATATAAAGTAATGATGGAACTCCAGGTCTAGAGTAAGATGAGGACCGAATGTTTTTAAGCTATGTCATCCCAAGTCTTTAACCACCAATTGCGGTTGTCATATTGACTATTGAGCCAATACTTCTAAGCTATAGCGGAACAGTTATGTATTCCCCAGTTTTCAATTGTTTCTCAACTGATTGCAGTCCATGAGAAAAACTACTTCTAGATTGAACTGACTGATTTCCGGAGGTAATTCCCGTTGTTCTAGTGAAAAGCCGTGACCAGCGGAGTTCAACCATGTCGGACAGGAGTCAGTTACAAGCTAACAACACTGGAAGATGGTTCAGCAACGTCAAGAATAGTTCGAAGTCAAACATGTAAATCATCGGATCCCAGGTCAGTGATCTATAGATTAAGCATTACCCGCTTGACCTGAAGGCTGTGTTCGATCCCCGTTGGGGTCATGAATGCGCACAAATGAAGAGACTCACACCAATGCCTCATAGTTTAACCAAAATTAGTCCGCGGTGTTAACTATAGAATTCAACAATTTCCACACACACACACCCCCGCTTGATAATGAGCTGATTTCTGAGTCGCCTAACTAAAACGAATTACTTTGAAATACAGGTGATAACTTCGTGTAAAATTACTCACCAATATTAATATCATGCTTAATAAATGGTTGCAGACTGTATTTGGTTTGGTATATCCCAAATATTTAGTGGATGACTTTTGTCTATAACCCCATTTTAACTGTATAAAAAAGTACATTTCATTTTTTCAAAACGTGGTTCTAAGATTACTAATTACACAAATTACTTGTTAAATTGGTAAAAAAAAACACGATAATTCAGCAACATTGGTTCATCTACTGTAAAATGATCACATTTATGAGAACAATCGGTGCGGATTGTTGGACACAAGTTTTTTTGTAAGTATCTGTCAGTCGACAAGAGATATTCGCAATCACATTTCACCTGTAATTCAAAATGAGACTGTTTATGAATTATCCATGATAATACTGCCATGTATGTAACGATATCACTTATTCGTACGTATATGAACAGACCGATTTCCCTTTAAGACATGTACGCACTATTCTTAGAAATAGAGTTTATTATAACATGTTCCTACAAATGTGACATAAAATCAATAGTAAATATAATTTCTTTATGAAATTTGTTTGTTATAGGTACTATCAACCTCTTGAAGCTGGGAAAGATGGACAATTAGTGCAGGATATTAAAGGTGCCCTATTTACAACTGAACATAAAGATGAGAATGAAGCCAAGTGCATCAAGCGACGTATCAAAATCGCTAAATCATATGGTCAGTTTATGCAAGGATATTATGGAAAACCTAAAGGACAGGATCCTTTAAAGTCAAGTCAAACACAGTTAAACAAAAACATGGGAGAATTCACGTCTAATACAGATACCGAACAAGTGAGTTTCAATAGATATCTCTAAAATGGATCCAGATTTTTCCTAAATTGCTCAAAATAATACCTAATGGAAGATTTTGCAATTTATTTGTTTATTCATTAGTGTTACTAGTCGGTCATAAAAACTAATGAATTTCCGACTGTTTCTAAAGGCTAAAAATCACAGTCTAATTGGTTTACACAGATACATAAATATATCGTAAAGTGGTAGATACCTTTCAGCTTTTTGCAATCTTACTTTCCGACTGTCTAGCAGTGGATAGATTTACGGATCACAGTAAGATTTATGTTAATCGGTACCTTTTGATGTCTGATATAATTCTCTTCATGAGTGAAGAAAATTCCTAGTAACAACTGGAATACTATGTTCCAGACATTAAATGATCTTTGAAAGTACACACATTTCTATATTAAGGTTCATTCCTATAAAATTATAAAGCTGTAGATAGGATACTAGTTGTAATATAATTACAATAAATATTAACTTTTGTTTCTTTTTATACAACAGATCAATCTTGAACCTCGTGAACCATTGTCATCATCATCACTAGCATCAACGAGTCATAGTATCAAATATCCTTCAGTCAATGAAAATGATACTGATCAACCTCCTAAACTTCAGATTACGCTAAACAATAATGACAATAAAAATGAAATTAGTTCAGATGATAATGAAGACGACGACGATGATGATAATAATAATTCTAATTTCTATCATTATTTTATTGCTGGTAAATACGACCCAGTTAGACAACAAGTACTTACATGGGATACAGAATTAGCTAAAATACTTAACCTCAAAACACACAAAAATAGATAACAAAAAATTCTTTTCTTTCTCTCTCTCTCTCGCACACACAAAATATCTCCAAATAAGCATTAAAACCATCAGATTGTATCGCATTTTTTCATTCCTTATCTCTGTTTTTTTTTCTTTTCTGCAGTTCTATGATATTGGTAATTGTTTTGTTCCATTTTTCTTTTGTATGTCATTTATTAAATAGTTCAGTAAACTTTCACACCGGTGTGTTTATCACCTTTTTTGTGAAGTGAATTAATCTCATAATCACCATCAAATATTCTTCCAATTTTGTGTGTATTTTTATTTTAAATTATCGTGTATACCAACCTCCCCCACTCCACTTTACAACTTGACAACTACAAGTAACTTCTACTTACTCATATAATCCGATGATGTTTGATATGGCCTATGATTTAAGCGATATTATTTTTTTATTACCATGATCATTGTTAAATATGAATTTGTTTTGTGAATGCCTTCTACAACTTGATATATATATATATATATATATATATATATATATATATATATATATATCAAGTAATTGTCCTATGATTTCAACATATTTTATCATGTGCAAAAACAAACTGTTTGGATTTACGAAAGTGTTTTGTTTTTATTCGAAATGATACATATACACAGAGGGCAAGAAGTGACCAAAATGATAGTACATAACTAACATGACAATAATACGAGTTGCAAGGAGAATACTTTTTTTACAAATAGTTATTTTTTTCTACAAAGCGGATAGAAATATACGTGTTGAAGATCCTGTTTTGTCAACCGGGTCGTTGTTCCATTTTTGTTTTCGGTGGTTTTAAACCACCGATGCCTTTTGATGTTTTGGACTTTTTCGCCTTGAAATCTCGCCAACTTGCAACACGATTAACACGACTTTCCTTTAAAAATAAGAAAAGATTTGTTTGAAGAGAAAAATCGGCATAAACCGTAAGATATTTCCTCTTAGTTGACGTGCAGAGACATAGAAGCAAGCAAGTGGTATGTATAGTTAACTTGTTGCAATGTCATGGCTCTTGATAGTGAAAACTTAAACCTAGATTCAACATTAAATGTTTATTATTTTTCAATTATCTATCTGCTGACAGTTAAAACAGATATCAATTTATGCATTCATATAAACAGGGTTTACATCCAAACCATTAAAATTATTAGCAAGGTGAAACTTAGTGAATTGAAATGGTGTAATATAAGGGCTTAGGAGGGATTTAGGTACTCCATTTTGAAACTGTGTGAGGGCTGGTGGTGAAATTGAGCTCCCCTAATCGGTGAAACACGGTTTGTACCTGTGATCAATTGGTTAAAGGTTGAGTGCTTGAGATGTCAACGGGCATGATGATTATGTTATTGGTTTGATTGGGTCTCTCATAAGCCATACAACTCATTTGTGGCTAAATGAAACAAATCTTGTATGATTTCTTACTTTATTGCTCATCAACTCTATTAGCATTTTATTATATAATTTGCTGATTTTTATTTTTCCTCGCACTTGCATTTTTATTTTACGTAGGGTATATATGGAAGCTTTACAGTACAAAGCATTTTTTGTTATTATTCATTCATATAATCAATTAAGAATAGTATATATATTCAGGTTACATGTGTTTGACCAAAGGTATCTTTGAAGCAATGATTAGACGTAGATAGAACATAATGATGCTAGATATGTAGTACTGGTTAAAATAATGTAAATGGGCCGGTGATTTTTGCCAGGGTTTTAAAAGACAGGCGGACAAACATCATCAAAATAGACCCGGGCACAACTTACGTTGACGAATTAAAAATAATATAGTAGCAATGATAAAAAGAAAGATTAAACATTGAAATGGTTCAAAAAGGCAACAGAACGGTATGTATCAAGGGATACTTAAATTCAATCTCGAAAGAAAAATAAAGAGTGAATGGGTCTCAAACCACTGATTATGGTTATCACGTGGACCCCAACCAGGTAGTCTGGATTTAACAGTATGACTCAGACCAACAGTCAATGACTTCACGGACAGGAACCAATTTCCGGTCTGATTCCCCGTAATTTCCTCCCAACCTAAAGCATTTCCCATCGAGGCAGGCGGTGATTAGGCATACGTAGTACACGTCCTAACCACTTCAGTCAGTCAGTCAACAACGTAGAACTTCGTACGTACGTACATCATCTCGAGTTGCCTTACCCACATTAGTACACAGATACAATTGTCGATTCAAATCCCGTAGTGGTGAGGTTGTAAGAGTATAAGCAGTAATCGAAAAGACTAGGGTTTGAAGATGTTATTTAAGGAGTATAATCCAGCGAAATAAATTTGGAAAGAGAAAAAATAAGGGACGTGAGGAATTCAGAAGGTTAGAATTTGGGAGAACACAAAGTGTTGATGCACCTGCGCCATTTCAAACGATTTTGAGCCATGTCATTCAAGGTCTCTAACCGTCGGTTGCTATCGTCTCGCGGATCCTAACCAGGTAGTCCACTTGTCAGTGACTTCATGAATTTGTGCCATGTTTTGGTCTGGCCGCCCCTAGCTTTTTTCCAGCCTACTCCTAACCACTTCAGCGGATGAAGACTCACTGCACTGTCAAAATGCCACCTTTGTCAAATATCCTATGCCTAACTTAAACTGGTCTGAGCCATAAAGTGATATGACAATTTTCTGATTGGAATTTGCGAGATAACCGTAATGTGATGTAGCTCGAAATTAATCCCACCGATGTACATGTATTCATTCTTCACTCCTAATCTTGAACAGTGTATTGGTTTATAGTTTCCATCTTGTTTGAGCAGGAGTCTTTTCCTCTATACGGCTTTCTATCATCGTTAGCATCATTATTTTACGTCATTCAACTTGTTCAGTCATATTTTTGTTATACTGATTTGAAACGAAGGAAATTGGACTGATATACCTTTAAATTATCCAGTAATTTCATTCTTTTTGCAAGTCTATCATTAGGACAAAACCACTTCTTGAAGTTGAGAATATATTCGATTTAATTAAAGTTATACCTTAACAGAATTTCAATTAGAAAGTGGTATTTCTAAATTTACTAACGGTCCTGATAAAGACCAAAGCAGTTAGTTGATATATGCAGTCATTTTTTCCATCACCAACAAATTCTATGCGAAACTAAACAGAACTATCAAGTTTGACGAACCCCTGTCCTAATTTGTTAGTCATTACGACGATAATTTTAAAGATACGATGAAAAACCGGTGTTTTTGAGAAGCTTTATAGGAACCATCATGGAAAGACATACAAAAAAAGACGAATATACACTAACTTCATAATTCTTTTTCCATTCTTTGTCATACGCCATGAGTTTTTTCCCTTCCTCCTCCTCTTCAGCTTTGCGTTTTCTGATGAAAAATATGAGAATTGACGAAAGGTGTTGCAGATGAGTGGATATAAATATAATGTGTGCATGATGAATACACAATACCTTCAGTAAACACGAGTAACAGATTTTCTACAGATACCTATTGATGATACCACGTGATAATCGTACTATCTCTCAAGATATAGGCAATGGACTCCTAACGCAGGTTAGATGACAACATACTTATTATTATTATAATACTAATTATACAAAGTTTGTGGTTTTCATTTGGAGCTGTTTGATGCTAGACAATTTTTACATGCTTTCTGAATGAAGTAGACTAAAAACTTTCAACTAAATTAGAGTAGATCATATTAAAATTTTGAGCTAGAATACATTACAACGTAAGTCTTTGATGACTGAAAAGAGTGGTGTGTTATGAATGTCTAATCGTTTTTAAATTACCAACGCAATGAAACATCAGATAGCAATTTCTCGCTGTCATTGATGTCAGGATTATTTTAACTTTTTTGCTATATACTATGGCTACATATCGTTGCCCTGATGTATGGTAACGAGAACTGATTGGCATTATTGTGAAGTTCTACAACGATCATGACCAGCTGAAGAGATAGACCAAACATACGTACTATATCACAAACACCACAGTCGACAAAGGCATATAAACTCACCAACCATCTTCAGCATAATCTAGCCTTCATAGATATGCTTGACCACTGATTATAAATATGAAGAATATCCCAAAGACACCTGTAATTAAATACTCGAATTCGGGTAACGGGACGAATCCTAAGTGCTTTTGCTTAAGATATTCCGAAAACTCCATTTTGTCAAAATCCTTACCGAACAGAACTATTTTTCTGTGCGCTTGATGGATCTCTGGGTATATAAATCGTCGAAAAACAAAAATATCTAACTTTTCCTCTATAGATTTAGATACAAAAATCTAACTGATATATATCAAGGCTAGTGGATAAAAACTGAAAAATCAGTCAGGTGATTTTAGAAAATAAAGAAATAGATGAGTCAAACCTAAATAGTCACCCGTTCCCCAGATAACACACACGAAATTTGTTTAGATATGTGAAGTCATATAAAATTTACACAGAAGTGTAGCGTCAGATCAATAAACATCAGTGTTAATTCTGAGAAATGCTTCCAAAGAAGTTACACAAGATGACGACTCGTGTTCGTGCTCGGACATTTGGGGAAATAAATGCACACGATTAATAGAAATTTGATGAAAATAAGTCACAACTCTAGAGAGACCCTTAAATGTCACCCAGAAGCCTCTGGTATACTAGATTGTTGGATTTTCTGAAGCTTAATAGGGATATATCATTTAAGTCATATGAGATACCAGAGTAAAACCATCGACTACAGTATAGACATACGAGCAATAGTTTTTGCACAAGTTGGGTTTTTAAAAAAACAAAAATCGACGAAAACAAACCTTTCTGAACACTGTTTTTGCTCTTCTTCCACCCTTAATCTCTCAAGATCAGCGAACAGTTTGCATGTTTGCACATATATGGCATGACGCCGCTGTAACGGTTAGAAACAACAGACAAGCTACCTTTTCAGGGTCATCCTCTTCAATTGTAATAGATCCGCTTGTCTTTTTAACACGTTTCCGTTTTTCAATCATCTAAAAATGATAGACAGTAGTATGATTGTTAATACCATTTGTTCAACAAGATCTTTCGCTTCCTCCACTACTTCTTTACACTTGCGGGAAGTCTCGGGATCATCCAAAGTCTTGTAAGCCTTGTTTACAGCTACCCAATTATTTTACATAATAAAGCAAGCAATACCTTCAAAGGCTTTCTGAGATCTTTCAATATCATCTGGGTTTTTATCCGGATGTACAAGCAGAGATAGCTATATTGGAATATATAAAAATTTGGGGATGAAACCTGTCTGTATTTCTTTTTTATATCAGCCATTGCTGCATCAGGATCCACTTGTAAAACCTAGGTTGCTTGAACAATGTTACACCAAGCATACATCATATGGATTCAAATTAAAATAAGTTGATCCAGGCCGGTTAAGTCGATCTATTTGTTGCTTCGGAGTTAATACAGAATCCCGCTTCTCAATAGCCTTAACTTCTTCGTAAAATGTTGAAAACAACTCATTAGGTCCAGGATTCGTAGACATCTTAGACTTGAGTAGCACTACAAGATGTATTTCCGCGTCTTTAATATTCAATATCTTTGTGGCGAATTTTCATAGGTGAATTGCTTCCATTTCTCTCGCTTCCTGATGTCAAAGCACGGTTCCAGGTCTTTGATGTCGTCCAATGTGAGTAGTCTAGCCAATCTGTTATACTAGTTTTAGTAATTTTCTCAGTTATTTGTAAGAATATTGTATCCACTTTAAATAAATGTTCTATTCAAGGGATTGCTAAAACCAGAAGCTACCACGTTACAGAACACTCGAGTGGTTGGCTATTCTATAGATGATTTCAGGATTAGAACAGAATTGAGTAAACCAAAAATAAGTAAATAGATAAATAGATTTAACCAGTGGCTAAACACGTAAAAAGCAAGTATTTAGGCAAACAATGGGTGAGTAAAGATGGTAAGGAGCGAGGTGATATAAGTAGCTGACTAATGATAATACGTAATGATAATGGATGAAGTCCACGACTGGCGTGGAGATGCTAATAACTGCAAGGTGTCTTATTCCAAGAGTACTGTCAATCGTTGTTCCGAGAAAGATGTTAGACCATGAGCGTGTACGTAAAGATAAAGCTGCTGTAAGTACGAAGGTTGAGGGAATGTTCCAGAAGGGTCGGTCGGTAATTAGAACAATGTAATCCTACACGGGTGTTCGTCCCTTGATATATCATTCAAAGCTCAAAACTTTGCTTGTTAGAATTAGCTAAGTAGTTTTGTCTTTCGGATCTCCGTCTGAGTAGTAGGAAAGAGTGACCGACTGCGGGAAGGTGCGCTTCATGTTATTTCCTTTCTAAAGCTGTGGGTTAAAACAAGTGAGCTATTAATAGTCAAGGTGATCGTATAATGACACTTGTAGTAGTCACTCACACTATCTACGGGATTTATTTTAACATCCAGCTTTCTTTTGAAGGGCTATATATCAGACGCTGTTAGTGTTGCTTCTGATAAAGAGCCTTATAATTCGAATATTCTGATCATAATTTAGTTTCCGTGGGTTCTTGTGAGAGGTCTTTCATGTTTCATTCTAAATGGAAATCCTCTGAGATGTAACTTCGTGCTAAACTGAGTTAGTGTGGTGTTTGAATGAACTAATGATTGCTTTGTACTTATTGAATGTTTGATTTCGAATTCTAAATACAGTACATTCGTTAGTGTTTGTGTAGTACTTCTTGATTCAATTGAGTTATCTCTGGGATTCTTAGTTCATACTATAATTTAATTACTCCTAATTATCATATTGGCGTCGCGATGAGGCCTGCGATGGAACAGTTAGATATTCATTCAACTTCTGAAGCTTTTGAAGACTATTTGGAAAGGTTTGAAATCTGGAGCATGACCAAGAAAGATGATGAGAATATTAATATTGTGGCACATTTTCTCACATTCATTTGAAAAGAAGCATATGGCTTATTAAAAGTTTTGGCTTCACCGGAAAAGCCCATTTCTCTTCCTTATACAACTCTCAAGGAACTACTTCTAGACTATGCAAAATATACAAATTTCGAATGCGATAAAGGGAGGTTTCGTAAAATAATTCATGAGAATATAAAAAATTCCACTACATTACGTCACCCCATCCCAGTGCATACTCAAGGTTGTGCAGTTCATGAAGATGGGCACAAGTTTAGTCAATGTTTTTCTTGTGGCAAGTTCCACCCTTTTAATTCATGTAAATTTCGTAATTGTAAGTGCTTTAAATGTGGTGATGTCGGACATATTCAGTCAGTTTGTAATACTACTGTTCATCTTGCTGCAACTAATATTAAGTCTTGTGACTCTGATTCTATTAATTTAAATATTTATAATGATCATTTATCTTTATCGACGATTTCAAAGGACAGTTTGGAGTCATGTAGCAGTTCAGAGTTAAATGAAACTCAGAATCCTTGCGAGAAAACAATTTCTAATGAATCAACATATCCGATTTCTCATGTTATTTTACCAGATATGATTTTTCCTAATGATTCACATATTTCTGATGAAATTTCTTATAAATCTGATGAGAATATTTCGGATGAACCTAATCATGATCGAAAATCTCATGTAGTTTTGATTGATGCTGATTTTTCTAATGATCCTTTACTCTGCAATGACATTCTTAATAAATTTGAGGAAACTATATCAGAAGAATCAAATCTTGATGTCATATCAAATATTATTTGTCCTCATGATGCATTTGTTTCTTGTGAGAAAATTGTTCGATGCGAAGCACGAGTAATAAATGAGTTAGAGTTTGATTACAATTCAGATAATTCCATATCAACTGTTGTTTGTCCTTATCATAAATTCACTTCCAATGTTTACTCTAGTCAAATTGAGAAAGATGTTTTAAATGAAGACACATTATTCATAACTTGGGGATATGAAGATCCGACATTATTTCGTGGGGGAGGATAGTCTATGGTTCATATCCTAGGTATTAGTTCCAGTATTCAACCGGCATGGTGATTGTTCACAATCCCAGAAATCAAGTGAGTCTGTTCCGATTTCCGTTGTTAATTCTAATACTAATGAGTGCATCCTAGATAATACAGAGTCTTTATCCAATACACTGTTGGACAGACACAGGATGAACTTAGGAAGAACACGTACAATCAATTACAGACACCTGGACTCCAATTTAAGCTGTGGCGGATGTGGTGTTTGAATGAACTAATGATTGCTTTGTACTTATTGAATGTTTGATTTCGAATTCTAAATACAGTACATTCGTTAGTGTTTGTGTAGTACTTCTTGATTCAATTGCGTTATCTCTGGGATTCTTAGTTCATACTATAATTCAATTACTCCTAATTATCATAGTTAGTTATATTTTGGTATGAAGAGGATCATGGGATATATGATAAATCATGATTATATCCACTTTAATGATTCTGTACTGCACAAGTCGTAAGTTAAGGGCTACAAGAAAAGCTGACCAGGGTTAACTTATCAGTTCGAGTACATTTTTAGTTCCTTTTCTTTGAACACACCACGGCATCAATATACTTTCCTTGTCAGGGGATGAGAATGCAACAGCTTTATCTGGATGAAGTCTTATATAAGTGCTGATGATAGTTTGTAAGAGGTTCAGGAGTCCAGCTACTTTATGCGTATTAAAGAAACTTCAAGAAAGAATACGCCTTTAAGAGCCACTCAAAGTATCACAGAGTGATACCCTGGTCTTCAGTAGTGGAAATAATGTTGATAACACTCACGAAGGATGGAATGGACGGAGCATAGCTAAGTTTAACATTGGCATCCTGAGTTTATTAGTTTTGAGAAGGAGATTATTGGTAGTTTGGTCTGGTGTACTGCTCAAGTCTTCTAGAAAATTCAAGTTGTCATCCAGTTCAACTAATTAGCTTCGGATCTATTGGACGTCCGCGTAAGCCAGTTTGAGATTCTACATTGTGAGTCGACGGTGAACAATAAAATGGACGCCTGAATTGTCAAGTGCTTTGTTACTCTGCTTGTTATTTAGAACAGATAAGACCATTGAAAATTTATCTATTCCAGGCAGCTGACGGGTTTGTGCTATACGGTCTGGCTAAGTGGTGTTATGAGTCACAAACGAACGAGTTATTAAGTTGGTGGTTATGGGGGTATTCCAAAACATTCCTACGACCTTCAGTGTTACGGAAGTCAAGGAAGTAATCCTATTATTGGAAGCTTTCAACCTGTTACCCTGTGTTTATACATGTACCAAAGAGTTGGGTTTATAAACATTAGTCGGTATTATCTGTCCTACTTGATTACTAATTCAAAAAATATAGTTGACCGACTATAATAAGGCTGTCTAACCCATATATTCTCGCTTCAAAGTCACACCAGTGCTTTGTAAAAGCCGTATAAGAACGATAACGTTCTTATAGACACACACATAAAGACCTAAGAATCACGTAGATTGACCTACGTTGCATGACTCACCAAAGCAGCTTCGATAATGTCACAGAGTTGACCTGTTATATCTAGAGCTTATATCCTTAATATACCGCGTATGGTTTGAGCACTTGAATCCTCCAGGTCGCAAATAAGAATACTGGAGAAAGTTTTTGTTGGGCAAGAATCAATATGTACAGGAAATCATGGGTACTTATAGATATTAGCGTTTGTTAAATCAACATTAAATTTCAAGACAGTATGTTGAAGAGCGAGTAGCGTGGTGTCGAATCGCGCTTGATTATGAACACCGCTACAAGACTACGTGCCAGTAAATCAATAAAATTCCCGTGGGCCAATATCAGAGGATAGATGATGGCTGTAGTCGAGATATATTTGCTGGCGATCTCGTGGTATCGAAAGAATACCGAGATCGTGCCAAAGGAGTACAAGTGAGATCGGCAGGAGAAAGTACGTGCGTGGAGTCACAAACCGCGCAGAAGTAATGGAGTTCAATGGAAGGCCAATATGGCTGTCATTTGAATAGTTAAACAAACGAGCACGATAAAACAATCGCTGGTACAATTGGTCATAATAATAATTGTTTTCATCCGACCAATCGCGTTCTGTTGACAAAAGTAGGTCACTATAAGAGTTTGATCTAAGCTGACTAGTAGTTGCAAGGGATAAGTAACACGAAGTACCCATTTTTGAGCTTGTGTGGATGCGTAACCGAGTGCCTTCAGTTAGGGTTTGTCTACCAAAATAATGAGGTCGACATCGGTACCGAATACTTAAAGAACTACATACTTTTGGGATTCATTTACAACTACAGATACATTAACAAAGAGAATTTGTACAGTAGAATTTATATTTATAGAGGTATTGGAGCCGAAAAAAGCTCCTCTCTGTCAGTGCAGAAGTGGAAAGCAAATACTCATAACAGTTTTGTACATAATAACCCATACCTTAATTTCATACCATTTTTTATCCTATTGAAGTACCTGCTTGAGGAAAGCCAACCGTCTTTCTACCTAGTCCTCATGAAGCAAACGTAAAATTATCTTGAACGCATATTTGGTTAAATAGCTATATATCGTCAATGTAATACGAAGTCCTAGATGTGACCTTGATGCGGGTTTACTGAAAGTATTACAGACTAGGAGATCTGACGAGCTGATTGTTTGGCGCCGGTTACAATCACTGTTTACTGCCCTTATGTTCCAGTATTTTAGCATTGCTTTGGATAAACAGAATGAAGAGCTGAAACTGTTACGTAATGAAGCAACAGAACTACAAAGAGTAAACAGTGAAATACTTGATTTTGTTCATAAGAATGGGATATTGCCAGAAATCGTGAGTCGACCAATTTTCATTTTACTTTTATAGATAAATGAACGAAAAAATCTTGAGTTAGCTTCTAACCAGGACGATATAAGTGTTTGTCACGGATCCGAAAGCAATCATAGTGACGAACATCAACAGTTCGAGGTATTCTTGAAGTCTATAAACATGTTGAGATTTTTTCCATAATCAGATCTCAACTTTTTACAGATTAATATAATTCCATCCAGAGTCCTATTTTCCACCTACTAATTATTTTGGGCTTGTTGATCTTAGATTTTTCATATAGAAAGTAGTTCTGGTTATATCTTACCATCTGAACAAAATGTTAGTTTTGCGACTTAGTACATGGTAGTAAATTTAGATTCTCTCTGTCACTGTGAAAATCAAGGGAGTAACTGGTTTTAATTTGTTTTAGTAGGGTCAAAGATTCATATGAGGTAATCTTAAAATATATACATATAAGAAATCCAGGTGACTATAATTTATGGACGAACCAATCAGATATAATATAACAGGTCATGGATTTTGGAGCAAAATCCATCCATCCATTTGGCCAAATAGCGTTTTGGCATTTTAGCTCATGTCATTTTGTGATGAAAACCCCAATTTTAATTCCTAACCATAACCATCAACTGTAAATCATAATTCTAATTCCTCACATTGGTTTATAACCCTCATTTAGTCCTACTTAGTAGGTGAATATTCTCAATGTAACTTTGGCGTTTTTCAAAGGTCGTCCATAAGTTATAGTCTCACCGAAATGCATTCCAAATTCTTTTCCCGATAACTAAATCTTCTAATAGTTTACCATACTGTTAGTTTACTAAAAGTTCAACAAAGTAATTTAACTGCTTGTGGTTACCTGTTTATTACAAAGATTTCTATTTTGTGGTGGATAAAGAATGAATTAACAGTCCATTCTATGTTTTTATCAGGATGAAGTACAATATATAACTTAGTAATTTAGTTATATTTGTTCGTTAAGGCTGTTCGGCATGTTGACTTCATAAATCACACACACGGTTAAATAATGTAAACTATTACCAGTATATTACACTGAAATTTATCTGTTGATCTGACTTTCAAATTGATTTATATCACATTGTACATCTTGGTGTCATTTTGACCAACCGTGAATCAGTATTATGTATAAGTTAATCTCTATCTACAGTCTTTTTTCTTTGTTGCACCAAGCCATTTCATTCTTGTTCCGTTGAGCAGGTAGCAAATTATTTCGCGCCCGCAACAAAAACCGTACCAATAGGAGTGGCTTTTCCTTTTTATTTGGTGTGTTGTCACATCCGGGATCGAATACATCATTTAATTATTTATGACTTAAACACGTCTGGCTTCATCTGTAATGCCTTGGTCACCTGTGTAAAACTTAAAAAACAGTCTGCCAAGTTCGCGTCCTCCATTGAAAGTCTATCCAAAAGTTCTATTTCGGAAATATCGCTTCATTTCACTGTCGGCAAAAAGCACGACTACTCTGCCTGTTATCCGTTTATATTATTCAGGCTACATCTAACGCCTGCGCGTCATTTGATAATGACATTTCTTCATTCTTTTTCTTGGATGTAGGCGGCTTCATTTGTTTTTCACCTCAGTCTTTATGGTTCTAGTCTTATATTACCTACCAGTCAACGGTCTTTTGCTTTCTTTTGGCTTTCCATTTTTGACACTGATAGTTTTTACGTCGTTCCTTGTTTTTTTGACTTTCTGTCTGTATACTGAAATGAAGTATGATGATTTGAGTTCATGCATCTTAGTGCGAAGTTCTACGCTATTTGTTATTAGTGCATTAACATTGTCGCTTAGCGGATTTAAATTGATTAGTTTATTAGAAATCGTTCAGCAATGTGATCAGGAGAAAGTTCTATGCGAGTACTCTGTGAATAAGTTCACATTGCCTTTCCTCAAATCAACAAATTCACAATAAAACTATCAATATTTTTTCATCAGCCGCATACGTACTGATTATCATCATTAGTTATTATTACTCAAAGCACGCTGATCACTTCGTTCACGTGTAGATGATATTGCTATTTGATGTTCAACCGGAAGTTTTATTATTATTATTATTATTATTATTATTATTATTATTATTATTATTATTATTATTATAGACTAGATAGCATAACTCAGTTCTATAGTCACTACACTAGCACTAAGTTTCTTAGTAACTAGGTGAATCGTTTGTATTGAGTGTGAGAATTCTTTTTAGTAAGGATGCATCATTTTGTGTTTTATTATTTTATTCAAATAATGCATTATGGTATTAGTTTAAAATTGTCTTGTTGTTTTAGACTGTAACTAGGAGGTCGCCAAATTCCTCAGTACTAATTGATGTGATTTCAAATAACACGGAAGAATTAAGCAGAGAATTGATGGTCAGTGTAGGAATTTTTCTGTTTTACTCTTATAGCATGAAGTACTTTCGTATGATTATTTATTTAAAGTTTATTAAAATAACCATGTTTTATTTGACTTTTTATAATTAGATGTAATGTTCTTTAATAATGTAAATTATAGTCATATTACGTTTTTATAGTGTTTACATTTGATCCTTCTCTCAATACGTTGAAAATCGAGTCCATCAAACTTCTAAATTTTCATGTTACTCCAATATTTTTCTAAGTGTATGTGCCTATCTAATTAGTACGTATGTAATTAGTTTGGAAAGTAAATCAACAGTAATCAATTTAAGAAATATAATATTATAGTATATGTGTTGTTTTCAAATTTAAATTTTAGCCTTTATACTAGTACTATATGAGTGCTAATATCCAAAATCTTTTTCTCACAGTCTTTAATAGACATCAATAGGAAACTACAGTTGATAATTCTGGAAGTTAGCACTTCTTATAGGTGCTTGTGATCCCATTGTTTTGACTTTGTAAATGTTTGGGCTAATGAGTCGAGGTTGTGTTACCATTCGGCACATGTACCTAGACACAGTTAAGCAAAAAAAATGAACCGTTCAATGTAGCCAAACAGACAACAACTGAATTGGCCAATGAAAAGTGAGCTGACCTTAAAGTAACTAGTGAAGTTTGAGAGAGGAGATTGTACAGTAAAATAATTATTATTCGCAGGTTATATAGCTACGTTACGTAAATCTCAAAAGTACATCTTGTCTGTTTACCAGCAAAATTACTGAAATAATTCATCCAAATAAAATTATTCTCTTCCTAATCTTACATAGTCGTTGGGTTTGGAATCATCAAAATGCAATCACATCGTTGGCCATGTTCAGAAAAATATGGACAATGTAGTAAACACAGATACTAATGCTTATGAATCCCAGTTAGATTTTGACAAGAAAACAACTTGTTTGACTCCACAACGTGGTATCGATTCTCCTATTTCTGGGATAATGGACGTATCTGATCATAATGAATTGCCAGCGAATCCTGAATGCTCCAAGGATGATTCTAATCAATCTCAAAATGACAGCCAACTTCAATATTCTTTTCCTGTAGGTTGTTTCCTATTACTTTATTATCGTATAACGTGTATAGAAAGTTCCTTACCTTACACAACTTGTTTATCGATATCCTAAGTATTGTGCATATCGTTAGCGATTTTGAATCTTGCTTCAGCTAATTCGGTCTGGGAGACTGGATAGTATCACTAGCCATCACACAAGTTATTTGACTAAAGGCCCAGTACACGAATTCTATATTTGTTAATCAAATGAAATTAATCAGCACATCTTATCTATATCCTCACTGAACTATGAATGAGGTTGCAGATAGACATTTAGAATTTTACAAACTCCTGGCAAGTGTTATCTTGTCAGGTACTAACCATCCACTTCACATTTTTCTACTTGTATATCTTCTGGTAAAACAAGATGTCCATACATTGGAGTCCATTCGTGCAACCGAAGGTAGAAAAGTTTTACAATACTTTATCCAGAAAATCTATTATTCATCGAACAGGTTGTAAGATCTGACCTTTTCTGAAACTAGTATTTTTGAACATGTTGTTAATTAGCAGTTATATAGGTTCTTGTTTTATCAAAAAGATTTCATTTAATTCCAGAAAATTAATTTACTTATTCCATGTATGCCGTTATTGACTTCATAAATCTTTTTGTAAAAGAGACTTGTTGAAATACTTTGTGCCTGGAAATCCATATTTTACTTAATATACAATATCGAATAAAGACATTAGTAATAATAATATTACTTTTGAGTCTTTGTAGAATAATTCAGTTTCTTGGAGCTGTAAGTACGCGTTTTACGTATCAAGAAGCATGAAACAATTTTATAACGCTAGGCAACTGGAGATAGTCGTTAGACAACTCTAGACCTAGGTTTATTGCTAGTTGTCACTTATGAACAAGGAACGCTTATAACATTCAAAGAACTAATACACTCTTTGTGGGATTCGCCCCCACCTCATCCAGCATTAAAACCAGATAAACATGCTGTTGATTAATTTACTCGATGACTAATCAATGTAATTATTATGACGTCTTACAATAACTTTAGTTATTAGTTTCTCTACAATTTCCTGTTTAAATTTCAACAATATTCGACATATCTATACTCTTAGTACAATTTATGAATGTCACTGAATGTATCCATCTAATATTAATATTTTGATTTTGTTTTTCTACACAACATTATTTAATCATTCTACTCATGTTAGTAAATTAATAATTTTTAACATTCCCTTAGCTCTCTTTTTTGTTTCTAGCCCACTATTAATACAGTGACTTATGAACTTCGCCGTCGGGTACTAATACGTGCTAATCAACGTATTGCTTTAAATCCATCATATTCTTTAAACAATTCAACTGAAAGTCTTACCGGTCATATTAACTGTCATCAAAGCATGCCATCATCATTATCTGTACAGTTACCATCATCTGAATGTCAAGAGATTTGTATTCCAGATAATAATCATTCCTTACATTATTTCAATTCAAATTCTAATACCACAATGTCTCTATCAGACTCTATATTACGTTATTGTGTTTCTGAAGTAAGCTCTCTCAATTTATTCAATATTCACAATATATTTGATTTGTTATCTTTGACATATATTACGTTCAATGATAAATGTAATTGACGCTTTCTCGTTTAATTATAATTAGAGAGATCTTCACCATATCCTAAAATTAACATAAATAATGGTTGTGGATTAATTTTGCTATTAGTGATAATGTTAGTGTGTTTCACTTTTATTGAAAAAAGAACGGTTTATTATGCTTACTATGCCTTTTCAGCTTTAGTTAGAGTAGTAGGTGCCTTTGTTTATTTCCAGTTCTTTAAATGAGTGATAGAGTAAGTGTACACTGTTCAGTCTTTCGGTGATTAACTCAGCTCTTAGTTTTTTCAAGGATGGATAGAATTATTTTGGTTAATGAACTGGGGGAATTGTTTGTGAAAATCTACTTCAAACTATTTCAAGACAAGGGGATTATCAGACTTAGTTCCAGAAGCTTTATTTGGAAATCATCTTGGTATACATTTGCTATAAGTGGGATATAAATTGTTGACCGTTGTTGTGCTATACAAGTCATGAAACATACAATTACGGTACCTAACTGAGTAAACACTGTTTCACTCAAATCATCATCTTCAGCTACAAATGTTCTCCACTATCTTAATCTTTTTTCTTACTAAAATGCCTACTACTCTAACATTTGCTGGATTTTCAATTGTTTTCCTCTTTAGAAACCTAACACCGATGAAACCAACGCAAACGATCACTCATTATCTTGTCCATGTGGAAATCCTCAGAGCTGTCCATTATCTGAACAGAAAATTGAACGCTTGGTAAGTTTTGTCTGTATTTTAGATGTAAAGAGTTGTATTTTTCCTTTGTTGATGTGAAGGATTGCGATTGGTTGGTCTCTCCTACGCTACAGACGTACATAATATTCCGCGTCCATTACTGATAGTATGATTTACCTAAGATTTAACCTAAAACAAAAAACGTCAACACACTTCACATTAGAAAAACCTAGCACCTCACGTATCTTTACATTTATGTCACTGGGTTTCCACTTCACAATAGTACTTTCTCCCTAATCTAAGGAGTCTTATATACTTTAAAAAAAGGCATATTTAAAGTTTCTTATTTAGTGGATTATAGTTGGCACTGAATTTGTATATCAAAAAGCAAACAAACAGAAAAGCCACTATCATTAATCCAATTGACTATTAGGTAGGTCTACCTAAACTATCAGTTCATACCTAACAATCAGTGTTGTAAATTCAATAGGTATTTGCGAATGTGAAATAATATCAAATTTTACAAAATATTATCACCATACTACTAACATTATTGTATATACTTTCTAATCAAAATTAATGCATACTTTTATTTCTAGTGTAAAAATCCTTGTATAATTCATGGTTTCACAATTCTTTCCGCTATGTTTCGTGGTCGACTCATTAGACGACTATTAGCTACACGGAAAGTTCATGAGTTAATACGTACTGTAAAAGTAAGTGTAGAGAAAATAATTTCATACTATGCAATTTTCCGTTTATTATCTGATTCTAACCTGATTAAAAATATGATATTCAACGAAGCTATCTCTTTTTTCGACGGTTTTTTTTGTATCATGTTGTACAATCGTATTACTTACTTACTTACTACTGTTACTCCTCGTGGTGGAGTATAGACCTCCCACGAGCATTCTCTATCGTATTCATATCCATAAAAATAATTTTAATATTAGTTCCGTGAAGATATATATGAACATTGAATAAACGTGGTGATGTAATCGGAAGGTTATAATAATAAGCTATGTGATGTAAATATCAACCATAAACGCTTGTGTGTGTGCTCAAATAAAAAGCCTTGTACAGCTTATAGGTTAACAATGTACGATAATACTGTGAATGGAATATGATAATCGAAATTATTATCTGGGACGTTTTTGTATCCATGTATACTACTAGTTTAAGCTGAAAGATGTGGGCACTCATCTTCCAATCATTAGATACTTGTTAGTTATTATTATAATTTAATATTTTTACCGATCGAATCTCACTGTAAATGTTCATTCTTCTAATGTACATCACTTATGTAATCTTACATGTGGCTTGTTTTATCTCCATGTATTAGGTTAGCTATTCTGTACATGTTTATTCATTTTGAATGTTATGTAGAATGATTTGAAATGTATGTGTATGATTTCTTACTTTATTGCTCATCAACTCTATTAGCATTTTATTATATAATTTGCTGATTTTTATTTTTCCTCGCACTTGCATTTTTATTTTACGTAGGGTATATATGGAAGCTTTACAGTACAAAGCATTTTTTGTTATTATTCATTCATATAATCAATTAAGAATAGTATATATATTCAGGTTACATGTGTTTGACCAAAGGTATCTTTGAAGCAATGATTAGACGTAGATAGAACATAATGATGCTAGATATGTAGTACTGGTTAAAATAATGTAAATGGGCCGGTGATTTTTGCCAGGGTTTTAAAAGACAGGCGGACAAACATCATCAAAATAGACCCGGGCACAACTTACGTTGACGAATTAAAAATAATATAGTAGCAATGATAAAAAGAAAGATTAAACATTGAAATGGTTCAAAAAGGCAACAGAACGGTATGTATCAAGGGATACTTAAATTCAATCTCGAAAGAAAAATAAAGAGTGAATGGGTCTCAAACCACTGATTATGGTTATCACGTGGACCCCAACCAGGTAGTCTGGATTTAACAGTATGACTCAGACCAACAGTCAATGACTTCACGGACAGGAACCAATTTCCAGTCTGATTCCCCGTAATTTCCTCCCAACCTAAAGCATTTCCCATCGAGGCAGGCGGTGATTAGGCATACGTAGTACACGTCCTAACCACTTCAGTCAGTCAGTCAACAACGTAGAACTTCGTACGTACGTACATCATCTCGAGTTGCCTTACCCACATTAGTACACAGATACAATTGTGGATTCAAATCCCGTAGTGGTGAGGTTGTAAGAGTATAAGCAGTAATCGAAAAGACTAGGGTTTGAAGATGTTATTTAAGGAGTATAATCCAGCGAAATAAATTTGGAAAGAGAAAAAATAAGGGACGTGAGGAATTCAGAAGGTTAGAATTTGGGAGAACACAAAGTGTTGATGCACCTGCGCCATTTCAAACGATTTTGAGCCATGTCATTCAAGGTCTCTAACCGTCGGTTGCTATCGTCTCGCGGATCCTAACCAGGTAGTCCACTTGTCAGTGACTTCATGAATTTGTGCCATGTTTTGGTCTGGCCGCCCCTAGCTTTTTTCCAGCCTACTCCTAACCACTTCAGCGGATGAAGACTCACTGCACTGTCAAAATGCCACCTTTGTCAAATATCCTATGCCTAACTTAAACTGGTCTGAGCCATAAAGTGATATGACAATTTTCTGATTGGAATCTGCGAGATAACCGTAATGTGATGTAGCTCGAAATTAATCCCACCGATGTACATGTATTCATTCTTCACTCCTAATCTTGAACAGTGTATTGGTTTAGTTTCCATCTTGTTTGAGCAGGAGTCTTTTCCTCTATACGGCTTTCTATCATCGTTAGCTTCTTTTTAAAGCTGCTTTATTCCTTTTATCAATTCTACCTGATATCTCTTCGCCTTGAATCTAAGCTGGCTAAAATTAGGTATTTTAATTAACGATTGTTTGTTTGACACTGGGTGATTATTGTAATAGTTTACCCGTCCATTTAATATAAATAATACAACTAAGACTTTGTCATATAAAGTCAAGCGACAATATTATGAAAAAATGGAAGAGAAAAATTAGATGGTGATTGGAGGTAGTCGACAGGAAACCCTGGACCCGGGTTTCGTGCTACTTGGCACTCGTCAGCAAGGTGTACCTGTAATCCGCCAGGGAGCACCAGTTCCCTCAAAGATTACAGGTACACCTTGCTGACGAGTGCCAAGTAGCACGAAACCCGGGTCCAGGGTTTCCTGTCGACTACCTCCAATCACCATCTAATCTCACTATATATATATATATATATATATATATATATATATATATATATATATATATATATATATATATATATATATATATATATATATAGTATTAATCCAGAAATAGATCCCAAAAGTTACCATTCATTATTCTCATCGGGATATAACACCTTCCTTTTCTGAAGATCTGGAGTTGATATCAGGACACTAAATTTTCTGACTTTATCCTCCCCCATGAAATAATGTTGGATCCTCATTAGCCCAAGTTACAATTAATGTGACTCTATATATAACATATTTCTCGCATTGAATAGAGAATCTGCCAGAACTGACTAGATGGTGAGAATGAACTACACTTGATATGAGGTCATCAGAGTTTGATTCTTCTGAAACATTTACATCAAATTTATTGGAAACTTCCTTAGTAGATAATGGATCATTAGGGTCATCAGCATCTGTCAAAATTGTATTAGGTTTCTGATCATCGTTTGATGCACCCAACATATTTTCCTCATTTTTACAAGAAATTTTATCAAGAACATGTGAATCATTAAGGTTATTCATACCTGGTAAGACAACAGAATCCCGATAATTAGATCCATCAGAAACGTTTGTCGCAGAATAATGAGTTCCATTTGGAGTAACTGCATTCAATATACTGCTCGATTTACTTTCTGTTTCCTCGTGGGCGGGTACTGTGACAATTTCATGAACATTTAACAGGACATAGTCTTTTTGTGAGCTGGAAAAGTCACTATTTGCGCATTCTATTCCAGGAATAATGGGATCTGAACCCATTACAGGGCACGTCTATAAAATGGATGTTTCTGGACCACTGGGAGCATCATGAGTAACTGCTACTGCCTCGTTTACATTACTACCTGTCAATGATTCACAGAGGCTTTCATCGACATGTTCATACGTTCTGTAGTCATTTTCCAGCTCTGTACGCAATTTAGAAATTAATTCACCAACTTCTGTCACATCTCCAAAGCATGGATGATTCAACATCCCTTCGGATGAATTTCAGTTGCTATCTTAGCAACAACAGTAGCGTTTTATAAAGAGCCGGTTGAACTTTAAAGACAATTTACGCACACGGCTGCTGAATCATCCATACTTTGGAGATGTGACAGAAGTTGATTATAACTATAATTCCTCACACAGGTTCATAACACTCATTTGGTCCTAGTTTTTAGATGAACACCCTCAAGGTCAGTCTAGTGTCACTCAAAGGTTGTCCATTAATTATAGTCTCACTTCAATGTTTCATCCAGATAACTTGTCTGGAAATTCTTCAAGGGTACTCTGACTTCTCTATTATATTCAGCTTCCAATTTTTTGTCAAATTATTCATTCTAATCTTAATGAATATTTGTATATTTATTTAATTATTACATTTATTACTTTTGTATTATAATTATTTATTATAGGATACGGCTAAATTAATTTTATCTATACGATTATACCAAACAAATATATCATTTCAATCAGAATTTATATCAACTAATAATGAATTATTATTATTAGAATCAAAATTATTAATACAACTTTATAATATACTTAATGAAATCCATGAAATCTTCTTTAAATGGTCTATAACTAAACAAATTTCACTTATATCTAATTCTAATATATCATCATATAGAATGGATCATTCATTAACAAAATTAACTAATCAAACATCAACAAATTCATTACGGTATGATACTTAATAAATTTATTATTGAATGTAATTCATTTATTGAAAATTATGTTATAGTTTTCATGCTTTAGTACGACCGAGAATGGGGAAAGTTAACTATCCTTCTCGAAATACTCTCACATAGCCATATGCATACAAAAACTATTAGAGAAGTCCTATTCACTGCCTTCTCATGGTGAGGGTGTTGTTTACGAAATTGAAAGGATAAAAAGCGAATATACAGTGCTTTAACCTGGTTGGTACATATGGAGGATCCACCTAAGAAAGTTAGAAAACCCTCATTTCAAACCAATGGTGTACATGGGCTCCAGTATCCTGAAGGAACAAATGGCGTATGAACCAATTGTTAGTCATCGGCTCCACTGCCTTGAAGATTAGATCTTTAGGTCAAAGGCTTCGAGTGTGGTCCCCTAAGAAAACCACTTGGTTCAGTCTGGGAACCCGAGCAGTATCGCAGCCCACACACAAATCAAGCGATTTGTGTGGCGCATATCTGTTTGGTGCCTCCTTGTACCAATATCTATGTGTTAAAATAAATAAATAAATTTTGTGCATGAGAAATGTTATGTCCTTAATTTATATGATTATCAGCAAATACGATTGACAATTAGATACTCTGACTTATACACGATCAAACTAATGACGTATGCACCAGTACGAGTAGCTTAGAGTTCTGATTGGTCCTTTTTTTCTCCTAACCCCTGCCTGTTAAGTTCAGAACGCCAATCTTAGTCTCAGCGATGCGAATCATTTATTTCGAACATACTTGGTTTATATACAAGGCTCATGGATAATTACTTTTGATAATTCAGTTTCATATTAAAATAAAACAGTTGTCCCCGATTTCCAAATGGCTGTCTGACCGAATTTAGTTCGTGATGCGAAACTGTGAATTCAACAGTAGTTCGCAAAACGTTACAATATTCATTATAAGTAGTCCAAAGTGTTGAATTATTATCTTTCTTGTTTCTTCCTGTTCTTTAGTATCCTTCGACAGTTGCAACCTCATCAAGTCAATTCCTTACCTAAAAATAAACAGATCAACGACAACGCAAATGGCGAAGAAAAGTAAGTGAGTCAATCAAGAATAGTGTTAATCCTTCCTTCATGTGTTCCATTTTTTAATATTTGGTCAATAAATGGTCCTTTTTTAAGTGATTGAAAATCTGTAAAAGGCTTTAACAACACTAAAGTCATTAATCTTTTGAGAAAATAGGGTTCAATTGATTTTTGTCGCAAATTTACTTAAGCGGCTATTTGTTTGTTTTAAATATAATGAAATATGAAAAACATTCCTAACCTAGTAACTAAATATTATCGTAATTGTTACAAGACCCGAAACTCTTTAGTTACTATTCCGTATGATGTCGTATGCAAGAATGGACAACGAATTTCTAGTCAAATTAAAATGAGTTGTTCAATGTCCTCATTTTTTCAATAATTCTTCACCTCCTCTCAGTTTATAATGTTAAAACTCAAATCATGGTAAAATTTAACGTGAATTGTTGATAAATTTTATAATGCTTATAACGAAACGACTTCTCTGAAGTTTACCCCGCCTAAATGAAATAAGTCGATTAAACCTTGAAAATATATATGTGCATGTAAATTTTTTATTGTATCTGTTATATTATCAGTACAGGGATTTATGAAGATTGTCCCATTTTCACAGTTGAATTCAAGAGTCGATCTAAGCTAGACACCACTATTGAAAACTTGGAAGTATTGAACAGCTGTTTCGTCCTAGTATAGAATCGATAGGATTTGTTCTGCACTAAGAAGGACCTAATATGCATGATATTGATCACTTCCGATTGGTCAATCAATTGTAAATACATCTCATTCCTACAGGAGGTCGGTCGCGGCCCGGATAGCTCAATGGTAACGTCTCTGGTTGTGAAGCTGGCTGACACGGTATCGAATCCTTTAGGGAGCATCAGTTCCCTCAAGATTACATGTACACCTTGCTGACGACTGTCAAGTACCACGCAACCTACACTCAGGATTTCCTTTTGACTACCTCCAACCACCATCTTATCTCAACATAGTACATGTAATTTCAAGTCACCTAGACTGGTGGCTACATTGCAACTTGATCGATAGGATTAGATCTGCCCTAAGAAGGATCTGACATACATGACATTGATAACCACCCATTGATCAAACAATTGTAAATAACTGGTATAGAACTTCTCAGCAGTACGCATCCATCTGTTGTTATATTGCCAGTACATTAAAAAGAAGGCTTTTTTTTAAAAAAAAAAAGAAATCCTGTTCTTAGTAACTAAAATAAATCTCTTACTTATTATAATATATTTTTATTTTAGAAAATCAAACATTCCGATTATTTCTAATAAACAATTTAAACAAAATCTTTATCACCCTATTATTAATAATAATAATAACAAATTAATCAATAAATTCTCCCCTAAACAACAATTAACTCATAATGTAAATAAAACTCAATTAAAAAATAATCAAAAAGAATGTTATAAACAACAATCAATATTTAATCCATTTCTAGAATCTACTATAAACAATTCAACTTATTATAAATCAATCAATAAAAATAATCAATATATTACAAGATCATTATCAAAACAATTGAATCAATTAGAAAATAATTCATTGTCTAATATTTGTACATTAATTTCAACTAATAATACATCAAATATTAAAATTAATAGATCATCATCATCATCATCCGTAAGAAAGAATTTTATTAATCGAACAAAATCAATCAAACCGAAAATTATTCGTCATTTCAGTAACAAAATTGATCTAATCCAATATAATAATAATAATAATAATAATAATAATAATAATAATAATAATACATCAACAATTGACTCATTGAGTAGTAATAATAAAAATGATCCTCTAAATATAGTTAACAGTGAACTGGAAGCAGATTCAAAAAATGATCAATATACTTCAAGTAAGAATAGGAAAAATAATGGTTTGTTATTTATCTTTATATTAAATATTTATTTTTCAACTCGAAAATTAATTTCAATGATCAATTAATATTGGATAAAAGAAAGACTATCAGAAAATTAAGAAGTACTAGACGAGATGTCTTGTAACTGTATATATATATATATATATATATATATATATATATATATCCATTGTTGAGTCCAGGTATAGGATAATGGGTCAGTCAATCAGCTACAACGTAGGGCCAGGCACATTTGTGCATCGGTCCAAGTTGCCATACCTCATTAACACAACAACATGAACACCAAATTTATAGAAGTGGTTAATTCAGTGGTGATAGTATTTAAAAGAAAGATTACATATTAGGATATAGTACAGGAAGAGAGAATTAGTTTGTAGAAAGAAGGATATGAAGCGATTTTAATCTCATAGTTTAAGGGAAGACAGTGAGTGTATACACCTACGCCATTGTAATCGATCCTGAGTTATGTTAACCGAAGTCTCCAACCATTGAATATGATAGTCACGCTGACCCGAACCAAATAGTTTGCATCTACTAACATGGTTCAAACTAGAAGTTAATAACTTCAAGCACTGATGCCACGTTTTGGTTTGGCCGCCCCTAACTTTCTTCCAATCATCCGTAACACCAGTCAGCATTGTGCATCCTGGTAAACGGTGTTCAGGCATATGCAACACGTGGCCCACAACCTCACCAACTGATTTACCAACATTCCCTAATACCCTGCCTCTAACCTCATTATTACTTACCCGGTGGTCCTAACAGATGCGAGCAATATTTCTAAGACATCTGTGGTCAAATACTAGTAGCTTACGAGTATCTTCTACTCTTAATGGTTACGTCTCACATCCATAACGTAAAACAGAACGAATTGCCACGCATAAATAAATAATATATTTGTAATATCCCAATGAGTAGAAAATTAGACTTTCTGACGTTTCGTGACTTAGTGTAAATAGGTGTAGACTACTTGGTTACGGTCCACGTGATTATTGTAATCAGTATTTCGAGGATTCCGGTAATATAACTTAGGATCGTTTCCAATGACACAGGTGCATTAACGTTTTGTTTTCCTTTAAAATGTGGGTGCTGAAATCTCCTAATACCCTTTTCCTACACCTAATCTTTCCTACTAACTCCGCTTGGAGTTCCTCAGGGGGCTGCTGCCGGTCCCAGCCCCGGATAAAGGAGGAGAGTTGGGCATGGGGTTAGCGACCCTATCCCGTAGAAAACGAACTCGCTAAAAAAACGCTAGCCAGAAAAAAAATATTCAAACCATTTAAACTCTGTCCTGGGAGCCAGAAGGTCTTCGTTTAGAAGATTTATAACGCCTCATGATGAAAGCCTAGTTCCTTTAGAAGTCACGACGCCGATGCCCCTTCTGACAACCAGAGCAACCATTTATTTAGGTACATGGGATGCTCGTACAATGTGGGAGACTGGGAGAGTCTTCCAAATTGCTGCTTGCTGAAGAATCTTTCCTACTACTACTAATACTATGATTACTCCTACTACTCTGGGATCTATCTTAATAACTTTACATATGGTTCAAGTTCTATTTTGTGTATGTCTAACTGACTGACTGACAAATATTATATATGTTAATAAGTGTATTCAGAAGCCCAACTTTACTATTCGAGTATAGATTGGTGTAATTTGGTTTGTTCACACATTAATTGTGTGAGAACAAGTGATACTAATTGTCTAAACTGAAGTATATGAAATGGAGTCCGAGTCCAAAACTCAACGGCTGAAACTCGGCTTTTGTAATTACCAAATCCTGACTTCAATAATATTTAAAAAATGTATTAGATATACACATTCATCGTCTGCTCTAAATACATGGTAGTGTCTGAAACATTGCAAAGTTAAAAGACTTATTAGTTGATACCATATCTTTTCAATAACCTTATTTATTTCAGTTCCCGTCGTATTGTTTTAAAATAAGTTAATTTTCCTTAACTAATTCACTAGTATACTACTAGTTTCCATGTTTTTATCAATAGTATACATTTTTCTGTATTTAGCTACAAACTGTAATTATTATATGATTGATGGTAAATAGTATCTTATACCTCATTTGTATTCAGTGTTTGAATCATTCCATTTATGTTTAGGACTGTAATTCACCATTCTTTTATCGGCATATGTGTCTTCAATCACAAGCATAATAAGCAGAGATGGATGGTGGCTAGGAGTGGAATCTAGGACGAGTCTCAAATTAGACGAAACATGCGTCCTAGATTCCACTGCTAGTCACCATCGATCTTTGTTTATAATATATTATACCGTATAATTTATCATTTTAAGTTGTATCACCAGTTTAATCACATGAGGTTTAGTTAATTATGCTTTTTATCCTGCCTATTTGTATGGTTTAAGCCTGTACAAATATTTTACATGTGATGATCAAATGTTATTTATTTCGTTTAAAGTGATGATGATCAATCCCATTGTAAAAGGGAGTAAATCAGGTGTAATTGTTTGATTGATCAGCATCAATTTCATAAATATATGGACGTATTGGGATATACACAAAGCATAAATTCTTGTTTTTTTCTTTAAGTAGTTTAACTTAGGAAAGCAAATCCGATCAAGAAAACGTTTATCAGTTTATGGTTGTGGAGATTGTTGAGACTCACTGAAATCATGAACCGATCTATGTCAGACCACTATTAAAAACCTGGAAGCATTGCAAAGCTGATTCGTCCTAGTATGGGACTCAGCAGTGCGCATCTGCGACCCCTCACGCAGAAATCGAACTCGGGATTTGCGGTCTTCGTTCAGTTGAAATTTCAATAGATATCATTAGTTCATAATTATGCCTGATGATTTGTGCAGAATAGTTATGTGAATATTGCATACTACAATTATGGTTTGGGTTAGTGAAATGCCTATTAATAATTACATTTCAATTTTAATTGATGAGACGCATAATTAAATAGTCATATGTGTCAGTGCAGGCTATTGTTTTCATTGTCATTAATATTCGTATTTCAGTAATTCTTGTATACGTAAGAGACATTTAATGAAGAAGTTCGACCAGTCATAATCAACATAGAAAATAGTGAGTTGACTCAAGTTGTCATACCATATCGGGACGACAAGACGGGGGGAAAAGGTACCGAAATTCTGTAGTAGCAATGATAATGAGGTAGACCAACTATTGAAGTGTTGTTGGAAAAGATAATCCAAAAATATATGTGAATGAATACCGAAATTCACCATCTAGAAGAAGGTTAACAGTGGATACATCTGCACAATTGTGAACGATCTTAAGCCATTTCACATAATCGATTACTGCGTGCAGGTTCATGCACTACACTGATGAGGAGTCACATACTGGTAGGAAATGATCTCTCGGTGCTTACAGGCTCCCAATGGTGGTCCAAAATAAATCGGTCCAAGATTTCAATTTAATGGTACTGTTATATATAGTTAATGTCTTAGTAGGACCACTGATGCTTTATCCTGGGTAACCGTGATCAAAATATGCTAATCATGCTGGCCATTATTTGGAGTAATGAGGAGAATGGTAGTCTCGTCTCCTTATGATTGCTTACTTACCATTCTTTAGCAAAGAATTATTCATCAAAATTTCTTTTAGAATTTTATTTAAATACCATTATTCAAATATTTACCATCATGATGATTTTCAACCACTAATCACTTACAAATTGATGTAGTGAATATTAGTCAAACGTCTAAATTGTACACTCAGTTGTATAAATACACCTTACAATACATGTTTATTCTGATTGTATGAAAAAGTATTTGATAATGTAAGTTTCATGAAGACAAATTTAATCTTTTGAGCACTCTATGAACTCTAATATAATCAGTACGATTTGTTTAAATTCATAAGGAGCTGATTAAAGTTTTCTTATTTTTATTTAAACACATAAACATTTGTACACAGATGCACCAAATAGATATGCGCCACATAAATCATTCGATTTGTGTGAGGGCTGCGATACTGCCCGGCTGCCCAAACCGAAGCATGTGGTTTTCTTAGGGGGCCACACCCGGAGCCTTTGACCTAAAGGTCTGGTCCATAAGGCAGTGGAGCTTCGTAAGAAGATGCAGTCCCATGGTAGCCGGTGACCAGAGATTGGTTCATACGCCATTTGTTCCCGCAGGATACTGAAGCCCATGTGCACCATTGGTTTGGAATCAGGGTTTTCTAATTCCCCTATATGGATCCTCAATATCCACCAACCATGTTCAAGTGCCGGACATTCGCTTTTCATCCTCTCAATCTCGTAAACAACACTCTTGCCACGAAAACGTAGTGAGTAGGACTTCCCTGACAGTGGTGGTATGCACGTGGCCACTTGAGAGCTTTTCGAAAGGGAGAGCAAACTCTCCACACTCTCGACCGTACCAGGGCATTTGCGGGCAAAGTTTTCTGGAGAAAATCAAAACGTATTCTCAATATATATATATATATATATATATATATATATATATATATATATATATATATATATATATAATATAGATAATATTTAGATATTTAACTGAAAAATATCCCTTTCCCTTTATGATATTTATATTCAGCATTAAAAAGTACTAAAGTCAGTACTGATATAAATAATTTTCTAAACACTAAAACAATTCATACTGAAAAATGCCTTGAAACTGTTGTTGAAGAGAAAAGACTGTCAACTTCATCAAAACAAGTCAATAGTTCAACGCTATCACAATATGAAACTATTTTACATGACCCATTAATTATTAATGATAATAATAATATATCAGTTCAAAGATGTTTTCCTGTGAAACGTCGTATTCTATCTAGAAAACTTCAAAATGATCCTTCAAATACTCCTGTTCATGTTAGTACTCAAAATAATTCTTTAAATTCTACTTGTAATAATTATGTATCATTTCTCATACAAGATAATCAATCAATAAATCATACTTTACATTCTAATGATAATAATAACGAAATCAAATATAATTACAAATTTTCAAATAATTTATGTCAAAAAGATTCTGAACTACGTGCAACATGGACTTTAGATTCAAAGACATATCCTTCTCTTACCATAGATACTACCAATTTATCTAATTAATGGACTAAAATCACTATGTTTAAGAGACGATATTACAGTTGTTTGTATATGATGTTGTTAATGAATGATCATAATCATGTGTTCATTATATATATATATATATATATATATATATATATATATATATATATGTATATATCTTTTTTTCATATCAGTTCCATTTCTCTCACAAACTTTAATTTCTATTCCAATACCGGTCTACTTTTTTGAATGTTTGGTTATTCATACATATGGCGTCGAGTCGCGTTTGATTATGATCACCACTACAGGAGGACTACGTGCCAGTTAACAGGTTAGATCCCCCCGTAGGCCAAATATCAGAGGGCGATTGATGGCCTGCAGTCGAGATGTATTTGTTAGCAATCTCGTGGTATCGAAATAATACCGAGATCGTGCCAAGGAATACAAGTGGCACTACTAAGCGAACGTAAGTTCGTGCAAGGTCACAAGCAACGGAAGAATGTGTTTTTAGTACAGTTAAACAATCACTGGTACATTTGGTTATAATAATAATTGTTTCCATTATACCAATTGCGTTCTTTTGATAAAAGTAGGTCACTACACGTGCATACATATAATTACTGATGGATAACAATCGCTCAATTTGACTTTGAATTAAGTTTACATGATTTTTACTTTAAACAATTTTTTTTAAAGAACTACATATTTTGCATAGATCTTCTCTTTGAATTATTGATAATGTAAATCATTTACCAATAATTATAGGTTTATTTATTTGGCTTTGAATGTTTAGGTTCGTAATACTACCTGATTATCCAGATGAAATAAGGGGTTGAGACCTATGACCCAATATTTTAGCTGAATACTTTAACCACTAAGCTACTACTGCACTTGACTTAATGAGATGAGTTCACACTTTAGAATGAATAATATACCAAAACTTGTTGGAAAGTGCATTTAATTGACTTAATGGAGATTGTAATAGCAAATTTGACCTCAGTAAAATATGTAGATGCTGATTAAATGTTGTATATTGTATTTTGAATTGGTCTTATTTAGATGACGCAATATTAAGAAGTCTGATACGAAAAATATTGAGAATACGTTAAGTTTGTACATGGGTATTAGCAGACAAACCAAGCGTGAAGCATCGAATTAGCATATTAGTCAACTCCGAGTACAAGGTGATAATTGTGTTTATATATTGTTCAAGTAGACAATCGATAATTAAGTTACAAGACACGTAAATATCGACAAGTGTGTATATAAATGCGTACGTTGGTAGAAGGTTACAATTAACTATACAAGTGAATATATAATAACTAATGATGTGATTAAGCATCTGATAGCCACATTCATATGTTTATTTCTCACACTGTTCAAATAAATAGGTGAGTAACAAGTCATTGCATGTTAAAGCTGAGTACACTTTCTCAACCATTTTCTTTACAATTAAAATGCTATCAACCTATACTTATGGTCGGTTTCGTCATACGTTCACAACTGAACAAAATGAATTTAGAGTTCCATTACTCAACTAAAAAATGATACTTGTTGGTGGTATTCATTTATTTCAGGCTCGTAATTAACACGTTGGACTGGGACGTCAATTCACGGAACACATCTTGTTTGAATACATAATAACATATTTGATTGATTACACCCTAATCGAAATTATTTGTTTCAACCTTGGCAACTTTAATCCTTAGATTACTCAACGCTTCCTAAGGGGTTTTGTTCATTAGTGCTTCAATAATTATCAGTTTTGTTCTACTACATTTTTATCGAAATTGGAATGGATAATCGTTTTTTCTTAGTCAATTCCTCATTTACAAAGATCGCTCTACCATATTGAAACTTTAACAAAAATCCCTATAGTTCAGCTAACTTACTACTTCTATGTATTAGAAAAAAGAGCATATTGATAATTTATTAAAAAATAACAATAAATCAATTAAAATAAACTAAACAAATTGTGTACATATTGTCACTTGAGAATAGCTGACAAAGAAATCAAACGTAGACAGAAATAAAGGTTTCTTCGAACGAAATACCCAAGCAGGACCGGTGCCTCATCACCCACTGCATTAATATCTTAATTGAAAAAGGTGAAATCACAGAAGAAAAGCAAGAAGCAACAGTTTATTTTGGTCGGATTCCTAGCAATTTGTTCATTTGACGATTTTGATTTGACATGGTATCAGTGACTCGATGAATTTGCGGCGCCATCCGATCAAGTTGATCGTTCTGACTTCTTAATTCATTGTGCATACCTTGAGCTAAACTTTTTAATCGAGACATGCCATCGCCCATTAGAGCTAAATTGTTTTCAAACTCAACATCTGCAGATTTCGAGGTGTTGTTAGGTTCCTATTTAGAAGAAAAACGACATAATATTAACGGAAATGAAGTGAATTCATCAGTGATAGGATAGTTTGCCTTAGCCAAGATAATATCAGTCAGAGATTCCAGGCTCGACCACAGATGATCCAGAAATTGTTCCTCATGAATAAAGAAGTCTATCATCTAGTGGTCGTAATTTGCCTCCCCTTAGTTACCTATCTACTATGATAGAAATACCCTGAGAAGCATTTTATTACAAACATAATGACGATTAAGACCGCAAAAATTATATAGCACTCACCAAATGACACTTCTTTTTGTACAAGCAATTAAGTTTGTAATTTATTATTTTCAATCTTTTGCATGATTTAGATGAATACGTCGTTACCTTTCCACATAAAATAGAATACTTAATGAAGCAAAGTTTTTCGTATAGTGGAAAATAACGTATACTTTCTGACCCAAAGCTCCTTTGCATAGTCACGCGCTAAGTGGCGTTTGTCAAGGTGATTGCTTTGATTAACGTCACGTAGCCTGCGAGTAATTACTATTAAATTTGATAGGTGCATACACCTATCTTTTATTCTAAACACGACTGTAATAATAGGATCCTGGGAAGAATGCAATTCAGATGTTAATGTTGAGGAATTTTCACTGTAATCAAATCTATAGTGGTGAGTAGAGCTATTATTATTATTAGACAATGGCTTGGGATGGTAGTCAACAAGTGATAGAGATGAACAAGTTAACACGAGTTGTTCAATTTCAAATAATATGTAGTAATAATTGTCTCCAATGAGATATGCTAATGACTTACAATCGCTGTTTGTTGCAGTGTACTGGTGTACTGATTACCCCATGAATTTTCACATTGAATCGTTTGTCTCAGATTACTTTGATTTCTATTATTCAACGTCTTGTCCACCATCGAGGAGCTTTGAGGAACAGGTTGTGATTGTCTATCGGAAAAAGACCCATGGAAATTAACATAAATCAGTAGTAATTTACAGTAAGTTGATCGGAAAGTCAAAACAGTTATGTAATTTCTAGATTAGAACTGATGAGTCTTCAGACAGTATTATTAAGCACCAACAATCTTTAGAATCATTATTAATGAAACTTGACTATGCAAAAGTTCGATTTTGATGGAGAGCAGATTTGACTTCATAGCTTAAACATGTAAAAGGAAAACCATCTGAAGTTATTTGTTTTCCAAATTATAATAAGAATGGAGTTCATATGCACAATTATTAATTAGCCTACGGTTTCCAAATACCAACTGAGATTTCGATGGAGTTTTGTTCTCTGAGCTGGATGGTTTGAGCGTGGAGCTTTCATCGTTCTTCTGAACGACATCATCAGCACAAACTTCAGATAGAAGTGAAGTGTTCGAATTTCTCCATATGCGTTTCACAGATTGTTCTGTGCACCTCGATGTTGATTGGTCCTTTTTGACCTTAAATTTTTCATTGTTTACTTTTTTGTCTTGGTTTTGTCTCCTATTGGTTTGATTCTTGTTCCTATATTTGTGCATAAGTTTCCTGATTGGTTGGTAAATCGGATCGATTTCAATATGTTTGTTGATTGCTGATTGACCTGAGTGCCAGGTTTCTAAAAATTCTCTTGTGTTTTTAGAATTTCCTCTGTCCACGATTTCCACATTTTTCCAATCGAATGTGTGTCCGCAGTTGTCCACGTGTATTGATATAAGTGAGGAGATATCATGCCGTTTGACTGCTAATTGACGTTCATGTAGGCGCAGGTGAAGGGGGTGTCCGCTTTGTCCGATGTAGTGTTTGTCGCAGTTGACACAATTTATTTTGTAGATGATGTTCGATTTATCTTCTGTTGTTATTTCATCCTTTGGTTTGCATAGGATTGACTGTAGTGATTTTGTCGGTTTGTGTGCCACACCTATCCCGAAGGTTTTTAGCAGTCTTGTTGCGGTTTCTGATATGCCATTTATGTATGGTAGGGTGATTCGTTTGTTGATTTCTTTGCTTGATTTGTGCTCTGATGCTGCATGTGGTTGGTATTTTTTGATGAAGTTGGTTGTGTAGTCATTCTTTTGAAATACTTCCTTCAGGTATTTCTCTTCCTTTCTTCGTGCTGCCAGTGTGATGCGGTGTGTCCCCGCCCTCTTGAACAAAGTTTGTACGCAGTTGGTTTTATGTGCTCTTGGGTTCTTGCTATTGTAGTTCAGAATTTGATCTGTGTGGGTCGGTTTCCTATATACTTGAGTTTCTAGTTTTCCTGTGTCAGTTCTAGTGACTAATATATCCAAGAATGGTAGTTTGTTGTTTGCCTCCTGTTCCATTGTGAACTTGATGTCATCGAAGACGTTGTTGATCAGAAGAACGATGAAAGCACCACCAAACCATCCAGCTTAGAGAACAAAACTCCATCAAAATCATCCACCTGAGCTACAAATCTTCTCCACCATCTCACCAACTGAGATTCTATGCATCAAATAGTCACTAAACTTGTGACTTGATATTATATTTCAGTTTGAAACTATAAGATCTCATCTACAATGCTCCTACTGTAATCAATATTGTACGTCAGTTAATAAAAAAATGAGGTACACTATTAACGGATGACTTTAAAACCTCATCAATTTACGTTGCAATGTACTTATATATTTAGTGCTAACTGATTAGATGAAAGTATATACAACATGTGTATACAGGTATATCCGATTGATCTTTGAATACTAAACAGAATCAAAGAAACTGCAGCACATGCAAGTCTTGTTCAAAAGAAATAAACTATGAGTAGGTATGATTTCAACCAAGATTCAAGAGTTTTTGATCACTCAGTTCTTTCCAAATGTGAAACATGAACATTTTATAACGAACTTGTAATCCACTACTGATTCAATACAATTCTTAATCTATTTCATTTTTTAGAATTTTGTAAACAAAACTTATTTGATGGTAGAATTCGTTAGTTAAGCCAGACCACCATTGAAAGCCTGGAAGCACTGGACGGTCGTTTCGTCCTATTATGGGACTCCTCAGTAATGCGCATCCACGATCCTGCATGGGGGACTCGGACCCAGGGCATTCGGCCTCGCGCGCGATCGCTTGACCTCTAGAACAGTGAGCCTGCATCCAACTATTAAATTACTACAATCCCCACAAACCCTCATTCTTACAAAACTTATTTAATTAACCTTACTATACAATAAATATGGCAGTAAATAAACTATTAATTTGCTAATGATTATGAATCATGTTCGTAATAGGAAATACACCAGCTAATAATAAAAATAATTCAAAATCAGTTCTAAGCTTACTGTAATTATATTAAATGTTAAAGTATATTTAATAGAACAATTTAAAATATCGGACGTGATTTCAGACTACTCATTTTCTAGATATCTAGTAAGGATCCTCATTTAACAAAAACTTTTTTTATTTTCAAAGACATCAATGCTTTTATTGGAAGTCAAAATAATAGATCATACGAATAAACTACTTTGTATCTAATATTTTCAAAGAAAATTATATTTTATTGTGGCTTACATTTGTAATTTTACTTACCTTCGAGAAAAAATGTTTTTAAATCCACCGAAAACACTAGATAAAGTATTAATTTTCTTTTGACTATCTTTTTGCAATTCACTAATTTCTTCAAGCTTCTGTTCAGCACGATTTAATTTTTCTCCTTGTTCAATAAGTTCTTGGGCTGCTGCAACACCAATTTGTTCTGAATTATATATACTGGATAATGCACGTTGTTGGCTAGCTTTTGTTCTTGATTGACTATCTGAAATTTGACACTGAATAGCAGGAAGAAAGTCAGTTTATTCGATTTGTGTCGATATGATGAGGATAATCACAATCAAATGAGTTAAAGCTACGAATTTTATATTAGTTCCGCCGACCTACGGTGGTTAAAAGTATTTTAAGAGTGATATATATGGTAGTAAACACATAGTTTAACTTTACGAATGAAAACACTTTTATTTACTGAAGCACTGAACAATTCCTTATATCGAAGGCGAAGTGTAATCGGAAACAAGCCCTAATTATGAATGAAATAGTGAATGTGGATTCAAATTTGTATTATGTATATAATGCATTAAAGTTCTTTTAGAAATTGTGTGCAGTTATACGGAACGACAATACTCGCAAATATTCTCAACAAATATGGATCAGTTATCAACCACATATTTGAATACCTAGATTTTAATAATATCTCTGTACCTGTTAATAATACTAACCGGCTGTGATACGACAAAAACATAAGAGGTTTTCATTAGTGGATGATCAGATGTAGTGAGAATTTCTTATTCATTTATTTTAACGCATAGATATTGGTACAAGGAGGCACCAAATATATATGCATCACACAAATCTCATTTGGTTTGTGCGAGGGGGCGATACTGCCCGGGTGCCCAAACCGAAGTATGTGGTTTTCTTAAGGGGCCACACCCGGAGCCTTCGACCTAAAGGTCTGGTCTATAAGACAGTGGAGCATCGTAAGAAGATGCAGTCCCATGGTAGCTGGTGACCAGAGATTGGTTCATACCCCATTTGTTCACTCAGGATACTGGAGCCCATGTGCACTATCGGTTCGGAACCAAGGTTTCCCAACTCCCCTAGGTGGACTCTCCATGTCCACCAACCCGCGTAAAGCGCCGGACATTCGCCTTTCGTCCTTTCAATTTCGTAAACAACACTCGTGGTGCGAGAAGGCAGTGAGTAGGACTTCCCTGGCAGAGGCTATGAGAGCGTTTCGAGCGGGTGAGCGGACTATCCCCACTCTCGGCCGTACTAAGGCATTTGTGCGCTACGAAAGTTAGAAACCAAGTGTAGCAATTTAAGCTATAGCTATACCTTTTGATTCTCGCAGTTTGCTACTCTTTGATGTAATCTTGAAATTGCTCTTCACAAGTTCGAAATGAGCGGTAAAGAATTACTGAGGCTAGTGTTTTAGACGTTGTATCAGTGAAACTGATTTTTCAGTGATTATCACATGACAACTTTTGTCCCCTATAAACCAGGACGACCAGATGTTAGTTATCTTATTCAGCTTATTCGTTAAAACTGGGCCGCCACTTCTGGGGGTCTCTGTTGTTAGGCTATGAGGGCTCCCTACTTCCTCGTTTTAGACGATTTCTAGCACTCAACCTCATTAAAAGTTGAGAACTTGTGTCAATTTGTCATTCAGGTTAATTGATGATCTAGGATAGTCAGTCACATTAATTTATTAAAACTGTAATTTATATATCCACATACTTTTGCATAACTCGGTCTCTGTTCGAAGATATCATTCAGTTAATACTAGTCACGAGAGATGGGTGCGCGAAGCGGTTTGTATTCAGCCCACATACCTACGAGTTCTGGACAATTATCCGAGAATCTACTGTCTCACACATAAGAAAATCTCGGAAAAGTAATTTTTGAGTGGAAATCACCTGATAAGTTTGAATATTTAATAAACTAGTGGGTTATACGAAGTGATTCCACTTGGTCTTCAACTGCATAAAATACATAACGTCTATATTTTTTAAGTGATGATTCGAGGGACGAATTTGTCACATTTATAAAAAAGCCTACTTGCACTTCGCTTCTTCCGGATGATGTAGTTCCTGTGTAGGGCCAAGTTGTTGGTTTAGAGGAAGAAGAAAAACCCCCAGGTTCATCTTCATCAAACGGATTGAGAGACTTCTTCATGACCTTGACTAGCGTTAAACTACCCACTCTTTGAATGAATCAAATGGTTCAAGTGGTTTTTGACAGAATAGAAGAAGCTTTCACTTAACGGGCTTCCATATCTAATAGCAGTAGACCACCGACACCTCCGAGAAAGAAGCTAGGTATATTATCAATAAAATATGAAAGGCAAAAATATATTGGTAATTCGTATCGGTCTGCAAGTCAGTATATCTTTCCCTGTGAATCATAATAAGATAATATCCTTAGTCGTTAAGAGTATATCAAGTTTCCCTCTGTACGACTCCTAGAAAGTCGCTTGGACTAGCTCAACAGGCAGAGAATTCCAGCATTTGACTACTCCTAAGGAATAGAAAGCTTGTCTACAATCTGTCTCGCTGTGTGGAGTCTCCAGCTCCTGAGTGTTACCCCTAAGGTTTGTGTTGGGACTAAGCTTAAATAGGTGTTTAAGGAGATGTTCAGGAGTATTTTTGATGCTGTAAGCCATTACAGAGTCACCTCTAAGATGTCTGTACTTCAGTGTGTAAGGGTTCAGTGATTGAAGACGCTCTTCATAAGACTTGAATTTGAGTCCCGAACTGATTTCGTGGCTCACCGTTCGATAGGTTCTAGAGTGTTTTTATCCCTTTGGAATGAGGGAGGAAATACTATGTTTCCGTACTTTAAATAGATCATTTTCAACTTGGGACACTTCTAGAGAAGAGTTGCCTAAATTGTAATTGTAGTCTTCAACATGTTTCAGATGGACTACTTTACACTTTGAAGTGTTAAAGGTAAGTCCATTGTCGTCTGCCCAACTTTGAAGTCGAGTCAGATCATCCTGAAGTGCCCGTATGTCTTCTTGGTTGCGTATCTCTCCCCAAAATTCCACATCATCAGCAACAAGTAATAGGTTTGAACGTTTATATAAATCAAGAAGTGGTCCTAGTACTGAACCCTGGGGGACCCCACTAGAATATTCCATAGCCTGAAAGAAAGCCAAGTTAACCCTGACCTTAAAATGTCGATTTTTTAGATATGAAGTGAGCTAGTCAATTACAGGTGGTCTGGTACCCAATCGTTCAGGCTTATTGATAAGATGTATATGGTTAACACTATTAAAGGCTTTTGAGAAATCAAGGTAAATGATGTCAACCTTTCCCTTGCGATCAACTATGCTTTTCCATTTGTCCACCGCAGCCAGTAGGTTGGTTATACAAGAGTGACCCTACCCGAAACCATGCTGTTGGGGCGAAAAGTAGTTTCCGGATAATAAATAGTCGTACATACCGTAGCATATCAGTGACTCCATAATTTTTAATGGTATAGATAAAAGAGCCACCGGTCGGTAACTTGAAGGTTTTCTGCGTCAACCTCCTTTGAAAATTGGTGTGATATGAGCCAGCTTCCAAATTTCCGGTGACGTACCTCGGCTTTGCGAGTGCGATAACATCATGCTACGTGGTGTTGCCAGGATTGAAGCTGCTTCCCTCACTATGGCAGTATGAATCATATCGGGTTAGAAGTGTCTTTTTTTAGGTGCTGCAGTTTCCGGTACATAAATTCAGCGCTCAGGTTTCACTTCTGAAAGTCCTGTGGAGTCCTAGATAAAACTTTCATCAATATAATTAGTGTGGGTCAGTTGAAATATCATAGAATATTGTTCAGTCAGATGGTTGGCGGCGTCATTGTCGTTGTCATTGGGGCCTTGACATCCTGGCAACTGTAAAACTGCACTCATTGCTTGACGAAGATAGGCTGCATGAAGAAATTAGCTTTTCGGATTTGAGACAAATTTATCGACAAGCTTTATCTGGTACTGAAGTGTGCCTTATCTTATTGCATTTGTCCATGTGCTCCTTAATTGTTTGTATTACCTGTATGCGTCGTTGTTACCAGTTCGTTTATATCCCTCCCAGCAGTATCTTTTGCTGCTTAACAAACGAAGAGTTAGGTTCTTGATGATTGTAGACCATGCACATTTTTGGGACCAGTCGCGGAACAGACTGCCTTGTAGCACGGAAGATCTTGTGCGGTAAGAAATCCCAGTTAGCATCTGCAAGGCCAGTGCAATATCTCTGAGCCTTAGCTAAATCACCCGGCAGTTGGGTCACTGAATATGGTACAGGTCATCAATCCTCGTCAAGGTCAATGAAAATAGGGCGCACCAGTTAATCGTATTCCATGGACTGGCCCATGCGGTGGTGGTCTCGCTATTTTCTTTATACTCATTCTTACTAATATATTTCCGTAACAACGTCCTTTGTGTTTTACGGTCATGGTACTTTGATACGGCAAAGGGGTAATCCACGTTAGGTTGTGATCGCAAGTTGTGACTCCGACGTCAGCTTTTATTCACACCAATCCTGTCTAACTCGAGTAAACCCCTAATCATTCGATATAGATCTATACATCCACATCGAGTCGATGGTGAACTTCTCAGTCCACCTGCTGTAGATTGTCCTGTAAATCTGATATATTCAGATGTTTACACTTCCAGCGCCTATCATCGGTAGGATGACTCAACTCATTTTTGCTGATAAAAGTAAAGGCTATGACGGCGTGATCGCTGTTCCCTAGGGAATCCATAATTGAGAGGTTGTCAATTAGGAACTTGTAGAGGTTAACCAAGTTTGTTGAGATAAATTTCCTCTATATTCGACTTCAAATAAAGATATCTCATTAACCGAGTATATAATACAGGCTTAATCTCCTAGTAGAATTATCGATTTACTCGAGATCATTAAAAAGCCCAAAAATCAGTTATAGAGATAGTTTATTGTGAAAGCTTGGTAAAGTCCACAAGCATACAGCAAGCAAGCACCGAGTGAGACAAAAATCAAAGTGTGTGTGTCTGTGTTAAAAGATCCATATATATTTTTGAGTATCAATCAAGTGTAGATAAATTATTGATTATCTATGTGTCACAACCAATGAGGAATAGAATAGGGATTGAAGTGCAGACACACGCTCAATCATACTCATATGGAAATTAACACAGTTGTGTAGACAAATAATACATTAATGGAATGGGCTTGCTACATAAGCTCCCATCCAGAACATTGATGTTTTTATTTACAAAAAAAATTTTTATTAACATCTATGTTCGACAAAGAGATAAAAAACGAAATTGTCTTTAAAATAAATGTACAATTTGATATGATGATGAGTAAGCGTTAAGTTGTCATAACAGCTTGTGTTGAAACGCTTTGTATCATGTATGTATAAATGTATATTTCACATCAACGAATTTCATAAATTTAAAATGTAAGCATAATGAAGGTCCGTGGGGCCAATAAAAAATAGTAATGAAAATAAAGAAGGATTTTTGTGGTATAAGAGCAATCTCAGGACTTGGTCTAGATAAATATGGTGGTTGCTACATACCTATCTGGCCAGTGTACTTTTCTTCCTGATCTTGTTGTGGTTTCTGTTGCGGGCGTACTTTTGAGTGAAGTTTTGTTTGTTGCAGTTAGTCTATTTGATGCTTGCTCTGCTGCAGGTTTAGATGGTTTTACAGTTGCGTGTTTCTCAGTGTTCTCTAAAAACGCTGGTTTTATTCTGTCGATGCTAACAGTGTCATGTTTACCTGCTCTTTCCACTGTAATTGTTTTACCGTCTTTTCGGATGATTTTAAACGGGCCGTCGTAAGGAGCCTGTAACGGCTGTCGTACTCTATCATTTCTGACGAATACATGTGAGCATTTGTCTAGTTCATTAGGTACGAATGATCTCACCTTTTGGGTTCGTGGTTCAACGGACCTAATTGATTCCATCTGTTGTTTTAATTGTTGTACATAGTCGGTTATGTCTGCTGGAATATCTGTTGCGCGGTCAAAAAATTCACCGGGCAAACGTAACGTTGTTCCATACGCCAACTCGGCAGCACAACAACCAATGTCTTGTTTTATAGATGAGCGAATGCCTAATAGTATCAAAGGAAGTTTGGCATCCCATTTGTAATCTCCTCCAGCAGCCGTCAAAGAGGCTTTTAATTGTCTGTGAAACCTCTCTATCATTCCATTAGCAGTCGGATGATAAGCAGTGGTTCTAATTCTCTTTATACCGAAAGTATCTGTAAGTTGCTGAAATAGTTTGCTTTCAAACTGAGCTCCACGGTCGGTCGTAATTGTTGTAGGGACACCGAAGTTTGTAATCCAGTGTTTCACCAGTTTCTTCGCTACTGTTGATGCTGACGTGTCTTTTAACGGAACAGCTATGGGCCATCTCGTAAATCTATCTATACATGTTAGTATGTGCGTGTAACCATTAGAAATTGGTAACGGTCCAACAATGTCGATATGAATGTGGTCGAACCTAGCGCTAGCGGCGGGGAAAGTTCCTGTAGGAGATATGATATGTCGATGTACTTTTGACTTCTGGCATTGGATGCATTCCCGTGACCATTTTCGTACATCTTTGTTTATGTTTGGCCATACAAACCTATCTGTGATAAGCTTTACAGTGGCTTTTATACCTGGATGAGATATGTTGTGTAGTTTCTCAAAAATGTTTCGTCTCATGTCACAAGGTACAAAAGGGCGAGTTTTACCTGTTGAGGTATCACAAGTTAAGATGTCCTTGTTGTTTATGGAGACGTTTTCGAATACTAACTTCGTTTCCTTAGACTGCAAAAGCTTTTGTAGCTCCCTATCGAGCTTTTGCTGTTTTGCCATATCTTGATAGTTTATATCAGGGATCGAGAAGGTATTGATACTTAATCTCGACAGTGCATCTGCTGCCTCATTTGCATTGCCTTTTATGTATCGTATATCAGCTGCAAATTGCGAAATGAATTCTAGTTGACGAATTTCGCGCGGACTGTATTTATCATGATTGTGCATCAAGGACTTAGTTAGAGGTTTATGATCCGTATATATCATAAAAGAATTGCCTTCTAACATATACCGAAAGTGTTTGATGGCTAGGTAGACAGCTAACAGTTCTCTACCGAATGTGCTATATTTTGTTTGCGTTGCGTTAAGCTTTTTTGAGAAAAATGCAAGGGGTTGCCATTGTTGATCGACATGTTGTTGAAGCACAGCGCTTAC